TTACTAATCGTGTGCTAGGCAGACTTCACTACAGCCTGGATAAGTATCTCATAAGTTTACCCACTTCATGTTGCTCATTCCATCGCTGCCAAACATCCTCTTTATCACTAGTTTAGTTTCCCAAGCATGGCGTTACCTAGATGGAAAATAGGAGCCTTCTGAGCATCTGAATATCTTCTGATACAAAGTACACTGGCCATTTGGTTTATGTAGAACATGCCAGACTGGCTCCTTCACTGACCATTTCCCCTCCTGCTCAAAGTGCAGAGACGGAAACAACTCAGGAACGGAGTGCGGCGGTGCATCGGGTGCCTATTCATTGGTGTTCTTGCTCGAAGGAACCAGCTGAGCCGTGGGGATGGTCTGCGAGTCCCAAGCAGGCAAGAGGCGCTGTCTTCTGTTCACGACTGTGCTCTGATGTGGGAGGGCAGCGTGGTTCTTCGTCTTTCTTCACCTCCTCCCCGACGACGGTCATCACAGAACGGCTGTGGGGCTGGGTTCCATCTAAGATCTCCTGAGTCTTGGGTCTTTAGATGAGTTGGAGTTAGAAGACTGGGATAGGAAGGAGGTGGGAGCCCAGTAAAAGGACTAGGAGGAGGGAAAGTGTTTGCCAGACTCTAGCTTTTACGTGTACAGATCATCCGAGTCCACGGCCACCGAAAATTCTGGAAAATGATAGCAACGAGATAGCTGTCCCCCAGCTCACCCTTTTGAGATGGAGTGGAGCTGGAATACAGAGGACCAAGGACTCTAATGAAGTCTAAGCCATGAGGAAAGACTAGGTGGACGCCCAGGGCGTTCAGGCCTCCATAGTGTTCCTCATCTCCGTTGAACCATTACCATTCAGGGAAACTGGCTGGATAGCCTTTTCTTTAGTGATTAGTGAATTTGGCCTCCATCTCCCTCACATGCAAGAATTTGAGTCTGTGGGAGGGAAAAGCATTTTCTAACTTGTTGGGAGCTCATTCTCCCAGCTACCAGGACAGCCAGGCAGGGCTCTAGGACAGCCCCCAGGCCATCACCGCAGGCCTCGAGCTGCCCTCCTCACTGACCCTAATAGTATCCTTGTCTAATGCACCACTACATGAAAATGATTGGAATCAGAGTTTCTGTTTGGGATGATGAAAAGGTTCTGGAAATATATTGGTGATGTTCATACAACATTGCGAATGTACTTAATGCCACTGAATTATATACTTAAAAATGGTTAAAATGGTAAGCATCATATTCTATATATTTTGCCACATTAAAAAAAAGATCAAGAAGCACAGGTTCCATTGAGATTAGGAAAGGAGCAGGGGCCACCAGCTGGGGATGGACGAACATTGAGAGAAGAGGATCTGAGGAACAGGGCAGGGCTGCAGTGGGCATTGAGGGGCAGGTGTGTGGGGAGAAGGGGGCGTTTGAGCCGTCCTCTCTACTCATTCTTCCCTCAGCAATCCACAAATCCAAACCGTGTCTCCTCTCAGCTCCGTGCTCAGGCACATGTCTTCCACAGAGCTTTCTCTGTTCTCCCAGGTCTCTAGGGCCACAGATGTCCTGTTTCTTGGACATTCATATCTCATCTCCAGTCACATCATAAGCTCCTGATGGGCACGTGACCTGGGTCAAACACCTCTGTATTAGTCACGTGGCTGGTACACACTGGCACGTACTGGGTACTCTAGACCCACTGGCTACAGTCAATCTTTTTTTGGAACAAAATTGGGAAAAAATAAATAAATTCTAACTAATTAATAAAGATTTCTTTTCTATATGTATAAACAGTGAATTTGTGCTTTACCTCTCAGAGGGTAAAAAGGTTGATGCTTTACCGAGATAGTCATCCCTGGGGCGGCTCACACCTGGGGTGGTGGGGGGTGGGGGGATGGGGGTATATGTTGATTTCAGTGAGACCACCACTGTTGGAGTCTTGAACTCCTCCCCAGGATCAGCTCTCAGAAACCCCAGTCCTTCACTGCAGACTCACTGCATTGCTTAGCACCATCTTCTGTTTTGATTACCAACAGGCTTGACACGAAACGACTTTTGACTATTTGCAAACGAGCTGAAAGGACAAATATACACCTCATCAAAAAGATTCAAGAGAATGTGAAATCCTGGAAATGTCTCACACATGGTAGGTCTCACCAAATACACTGCAGGACCTAAAAGCTGTTCTTACACAAGAATTCCAGAGTGTTTAGAGAAATATAAACATTGGTATAACCAACATAAATGTTGCTTTCATGTGTTTGAATTTAAAAGTTTAGCTGAATAAAGCTCAGTGCCTAAGAGGCCAGTAGGCAACTTCAGAGCGTGCACCCAATGGGGAGTGGCGAGGGCTGTGGGCACTGCGGCTCCTGTCCGTTACTCTGAAGAGGCCAACTTCTGCTCAGCCCCAGCCACCAGTTGCCAGATCTTCCAGCTTTTCACAAGAGAAGCTGAAGTCCAGATTTTCATGTGAAATTTCCAGGTATTTAAAATGCTGCTGGGGCCAAACACAACAGCTTCTGTTTATGGCCACACCACCACATTCACCTGGGATCCCCTACTCATTCTTGGACAAGAAACCTAAAATCTCCTGCATTCACGCCCACCTCTTCCTCCTCTCCGCACCTTACAGTGAGAGAGGCGTTCTAGCCAATGCCAGCCGCTCACCTGAGTCCTGGTCTCATTTTCTACCACCTTCTCTGGCACTCTGCCTTTGTGACTCTCATTGCAATCTGAATCCGCCTCAGCTGCCCCGAAGCTGCTCTCACCAAGGTCGCCGATGATCTTGCCATAAAATCCAGAGGATTTGGACGTTCTTCGCTTCCATGATGGCTCGACAGCCTTCAGCTGTTGACTTCTTCCTCTTTCCTGAAATATTGTCTTCCCTCGGCTCCTTTCTTGCCTCTTGGGGTTTTCCTTTCCATTCTCTGGCACCCCGCTCTCCCACTCTCTCACCCCGCTTCTCTCTACACTACCCCCTGAAAGTCAGCGTTCCACGGGGTTCTGTCCCAGGCCCCTCTCTGCTCACTCCACACTCACTTCTTGGGGGAGATGGTCCACTCTCCCATAGCTTCAGAAACTTGTGATGGTTCTCAGATCCATCTATCTCCAGCTCAGATCCTCTTCTGAGCTCCGCTTCCTACTGGTCACACCAACTCAGCAGATCCCAGACTGCTCCCCAGCACAAAACTGCTGCTCCCATGTTGCCCCTCTCAGGGGAAGGCCACTGTCAGGTAGTCAGTCACTCAAGCAGAAATCGGGCCAACATCATCAATTCCTCCATCTCCCTCTCCACCTTGGTCAACAAGTCCTGTACCAGCTGCCTATTAAATGTCTCTTGAATCTATTACTTCTCTCCCTCACCTCTGACACAACCACGGTCCACGGTCACCACTACCTGTCACCTGGGCTGATGTGCAGTCCTCCAGTCTCACCCCCTCCAGCCAGCCCGTCCTCCACAGGCAGCCAGTCATCTTTCTAAAATACATCGGTGAAAACATGATCCTGTTCCTGCCCTGCCCAAACCCTCCCACGGCTTCCCACTGCCCTTGGATAGAGTCTAAACTCCTTCATACATGCTAAAGGCTTTCCTAACCTGCCCCTTCTAGCTCTTGGGCTACTTCTTGGGCATCTCATGCCCTCTCACTCTACGCTTCAGCTGCACTGGACTTTGGGCCTCTGCGAACACTGTCCTCTCTGATCCGGCTACTCATGCCCATTCTTCAGACCTTGCTTCAGAGGTGTCCTCATCCTGCGAACCTCCCTTGACCTTTCCTAGATTTTGGATGCCCACACTGTGCACTCCAAAAGCCCTCTGTGCTCGCCCTTTCCCAGCACTTCCCATGTTTCCTATAAGATCTCTGAGGGGAGGATCCTGTCTGCCTTGCTCACTATTGTTTCCCATTGCCTAGTGCAGTGCTTTGCACATAGTAGGCACCCCGTAAATGCTTGCTAGGGTTCTTTTTGGTGATCCTGATGCTAGAATTAGAAAGGGCCTCAGCCCTCGTCAACATCAACAATCTTATTGTAATGAGAAAGCAGAGGCCCAGGAAAATGAATGCTCTGCTCCAAGTCCTACAATTTTGCGGAGGAAGGGTCAAAGCCAAGACTTCTCATGCCAAGTCCAACATGTTCCCCATCATCCTACCCCTCCACTTCACTGCCAGCCAGCCAGCCTGCCCAGCTCTCCTACCTGCCTAGACTGGGGAACCGCAGCCACAGAGACATCTGCATCAAGCACCGTCATCAAGACAGAACTTATTGGAAAGTGTGATGGGATGGAATCTTCATCTGCCATCAACCTCCTTCCAGGCAGGATGGCAGGGGGCTGCTGCTCCGAGATCCCCTTGGAAGAGCTGCCGAGGCAGAGCACTAGAGTTTCAGGTGGCCCTCCGCCCATCTCCAGGGGGATGGCCAAAGGGCATCCTGCCCCTCTCTTCGCATTCTCTACAGTTCTAGCCTTCAATACCTCACATGAGAAATACATGCTAGTTTCTTCCTTGTCAAATTTCTGAGCTAGGAGCAGGGAGCATGGAGCAGGGTAGTGGTTTGGCAATTAGCTGTGTTATATTTTGATTTGGTGGAACCGATTCCTAGCAGCTGGCTAAATTTAACTCACCCAGGATAGGAAGGGAGAGCCGTCTGTATGTGGATTTAAGGTGGGAGAGTGGAGGAGAAGATTCAGGGGTTCCCTCCCCCAACTCACTTAACAGCCCCAGAACCTTCAGACTGTAATTTTAATGATACTTAAGTACACAGATAAGCATTCTTTCCCTCCCCCTGTAGAGGTTCCTGACTCAGTCAGTCCTTGGCCAGGGGCGGTCTGGGAAATGTCTGCTTTCTTAAGGGGTCTCTGGGTGGGAGTCTTCCAAGGACTCAGGCCTGAACTGTTCCCAGCAAAGATTCACTCTTAGCCTTGTCTCTGTCATAGAATGTCAAAGCTCGTTAGCTCGTTATCCTTTCCGGACTTCTCCCCAAGATTGAGAGGTAAGGAAAATGGCCAGCAGGGGCCTAGGCCTTCCGGGAGCAGTCCAGGCCACCGTCCTCTACCGCCCAGATCTCGGGCATGGGTCTCTCGAACCAGTGGGCCAAGGAAGGGTCCTGATGAGAACGAGGCTCAGAAGAAGAGCGGGGGCGCCCCCACCTCGGGGGGAGTGGGCCAGGCGGGGGCCGCGAGGTCAGCATCGGAGGCGGGGTGGGCGGCCTCGCCATGGATGCGCTGGTGCCGCAGCAGATGAGTCTTGCGGCTGAAGCTCTTGCCACACTGCGGGCAGGGAAAGGGACGGGAGCCCGTGTGGATGGCCTGGTGGCGGACCAGGTTGGTTTTGGAGCTGAAGCTGCGGGCACAGACGGCGCAAGCGTGGGGCCGACTGCCCGTGTGCACCGCCTGGTGGCGGCCCAGGTGCGACTTGCGGCTGAAGCGGCGGCCGCACTGCGCACAGGCGAAAGGCCTGGCGCCGCTGTGGGCCCTGGCATGGGCAACTAGATTGGGCCGCGAGCCGAAGCGGCGGCCACACTGCGCACAGGCGAAGGGTCGTTCGCCGGTGTGCACCCGCCGGTGCCGCGCCAGGTGCTGCCCGTGGGCGAAGCCGCGCCCGCAGTCCGGGCAGAAGAAGGACCGCTCGCTTGCGGGAGCGCCCTGGGGTGCCGGTGTGCTTCGGGGCATGCAGGCCAAGGGCTCGGCAGCGGCGGGGTCTACGGTGACGCCCAGTGCGCACTCATCGCAACCGAAGGGGCGCCCCTCGCTGCGATGCAGACGCTGGTGCGTAGCGAGGTTCTTCTTCCAGCCGAAGCTCAGGCCGCAGTCGGAGCAGGCGAAAGGCTTAGGCCCGGGAGAGGAGGGGGTGGGAGACGGGGCAGGGGAACCCGGCGAGGCGGGCGCGTCGGGAGAGGGCGGGGTGCGGCCGGCCGCCTCGTGCACCCTTTGGTGCCGCACCAAGTGCTGCTTGTGCGTGAAGCTGCGTGCGCACTGCGCGCACTGATAGGGCCTCTCGCCCGTGTGGATGCGCTGGTGACGGATCAGGTGCGTCTTTTTGCGAAAGCGCTTCTCGCACTCAGTGCAGGGGAAGGGTCGCTCGCCCGTGTGCGTCTTCTGGTGCGAGCCCAGGTGTATCTTCTGGCTGAAGCGCTTGCCGCACTCTGCGCACGGGTAGGGCCTCTCGCCGGTGTGCGTGCGCAGGTGGCGGGTCAGGTGGGCCTTCTTGCTGAAGCGCTTGTCGCACTCGGAGCACGGGAAGGGCCGCTCGCCGCGGTGGCTGCGCTGGTGCATCAGCATGTGCGCGCGCTGCGTGAAGCTGCGGCCGCAGTCCGGGCAGGCGCAGGGGCCCTCGCCGCGGTGCAGCCTCTGGTGCAGCCGCAAGGTCAGCTGGTCCCGGAACCGCCGCTCGCACTCCCCGCAGCCATAGGGCTTCTCCGCGGCCGGGGCCCACCCCGCCAGGGCGAGCCCACCCAATGACCCTGGGGCGCCCGGCTCCAGCTTATATGCGGCGGCGAGAGGCCCCAGGTCAGGCGCGGGAAAAGGGCCGGGGAGTAATGACAGATGCTGGGGCCATTCGACCTCCTCTTCTGCCTCCTGATCCTCCTCCTCCACCTTCACCTTCCGAATCATCCACTCGTCCCCTGAAAAGTCAAAACAAGACAAGTCTATTAAGCCCCACGTTTATTTATGCAGCTTTTTGTTGTTGTTGTTGTTGCCAATACGACCACCACTTCCTGGAGGCCCGCAGTCTGGCTTCTGCTCTCTGCGCTCTACTGGAATGACCAAATCCAGGATCACCGCCCAGTCTTCCTCCTTCCCTCTCTGCAGCCTGGGACGCCGCTGAGCCCCTCTCCAGGCTTGCGTGTCGCTAAGGAGCGCCTTCCCTGACTCTGTAGGAGGCTCCACTTACTCTTGCGCCCCCTGAATACGAATGTTGCTCAAGGTGCAGTCCTCAGGCTGCGCTCTGGGTTCATATGCCCACGGTGGCCGCCCCACATCTTCCTGTCCAGGGGGCTCCTTTCTGGAACCACAGTCCCTCATCTCCAGCTCCCCGCTGTGTCCTGCAAATTGGCTGCAGCTCAGCAGGCTTATCACCAAACACCTGACCTTCCCAGACCTACCCCGCTGACTGTGGCATTAGGGCTACAGCCTCCTTCTCCCAATCGCTGGCTTTGGAACCTCGGAGCCTTGACTCTCACCTTTGAGCTTCCCTTACTCTCAGAACTCACCCCTGGTGGCTACAGCGTACCTTTGTCTTCCTCCCTGTTGTCTCTCCAAGGCCCCCCCTGCCGCTCCTCCTTTACTCTTGCTTCTACAGCCAGGCAGACAATCTCAGGTAAGAAGAGGAGGATTGAGTTTACAGGACTTGGGGAGCCAGTGAATGGCGCCAACCTCTAGGAACAGGGAGGCCCCCAGGGGAGCAGGTTTGAGCCGTGTTCCGCTGGACCTCTGCCCTTCCTGGGCACTGCAATGGCCCAGCCAAGAGGAAGGAGCTCAGGGCCCAGACCCGGAATGTCCACTTTGGTTTTCCTCTGCCACTAACCAGCAGTGTGACCTTAGGTAACTTACCTCTTTGAGCTAAATTTGTTAGTTTTCTTAGGTGTAGGGGTTGAATTAATTCACGGTTCCTAACCTGGTGCCAGGTCATAATCTCCTGGGGAACTTTTACAAAATCCATCTACAGCAGCAGCACGCATGAATCTGGTCTCTTTCTTTAAAGCTCCCAAAGTGATTCTTGTTTGAGAACCATTGAACCGGATGATCTGAGTTCCTGTCTGGCTCTCAGTCTGTAATAGCCTGAGCCTTGGTTACATTACACATGGACTGTCACAATTAGATTTATTCCCAGTTTCTTTTACCGACTCATCAGTTCCAAACAACTATTTATTCTACTGGGATATTGCTTTCATTTTAATTGTGCCACTGTTCTACTCAAGAGCCATCAATAGCTCCCTATTATTTACAGGATAAAGTAAGTTCTAGCTGTATCTGAGGCTCGCCCCAACCTAGTCCAACTTTCTTACTGCTCCCAGGCATAAACCATTCACTTCAGCCAAGCTGGTGACAGTCATACGTCAACATTCCTGCTTCAAAGTCTCTTCTCAGCCTCCAATGTTTTCCCATCCTCCACCCCACCCTCATCAGAGCCGAGGTCTAGACCTCTCTCAAAATGCAGCACAAATCAACAAAATCTTTTACAAATCCAATGCATGAGGATCTCTTATATAAACACGTATAGCACTTACTGTTAACACTTTTACACTTACTAGTGACACCGCTTTATTGTTATTTGTTCTTTTAACTCTTTATTCTAGTTCATATTAGTGTCATCAACTGGATTTTAGCTTCTGGAGGGCAGACATCTTTTGTTCTACTTCTTTATGTGTCTAATGAAAATGAGGATTGCCACCATTTATTGAGTGCCAACTATAGGTAATGCACTGTATATACACTGTCAGAAACCTTCACAATGACCATGGAGTTACTCGTATCCCTGTTTACGGGTGAACAAACTGAGGCTCCTGGAAGTGAGGAAGCCCATCCAAGATCACTCAGTTAGTAAATGTGGGGCAAGGATTCAAACCAGGTCTGTGTCAGTTTAGAGCCCATCTCTTTCCACTCTGTCTCACACAGCCTGGACCTCGTAAAGGCACTAAATAAATCCCTGTGGAATAAATGACATCACTCAGGCAAAAGATGATAAGGCTGGCGGTAGTGGAAGAAAGTGATGAACAGGATTTGTGGACAGAGAATCAACTGCCTAATCGCCCTGGGTATAGGGGAGATGAGTCAATACAACAGATTTGGAGCATATGGGTACCACCGAGATCAGTGGATATGTGGGGGAGGGAGCATGTCTGAGGATAGATAATAAAAAGGTTGATGGATGCCATATGTCTTCCTGGGAACCATAATTCAAGCAATCAACAAGTATTCCGTAGACTGGGGGAGACAGGAAGGGAAGTTAGACTTCTAGAGGATGTTGAGGTGAAGGTGTGTTTCTCTTGGTGACCAGCCTTTCTGATTCCTGTTGTCTATGGATTCAGAATTCCCTCTGGGTGCTGCTGCTCTACAGCAGAAAGGAGCCAGGGCCTCACTCATCTTGAGTTGGAAGTTCTGGAGTGGCTGCCTCATGAAACAGCAGCTCTGGAGCTTGCAGGGCCCCGGTTCCCTCCGCCTGGCCCCCTGGTGGAATGGAGAGACGGGAAGACTCACCTGGGCAGGAGCCCATGAGCTCAGACTTCTGTGGTGTGCGCGCCTGGCCTCCTCTGCAGGCAGCCTCAGCCTGTTCAGTGTGGGCGCCTTCCTCCACTCTGGGGGCCTCGTGCCCTGGCGGAGAACAGGATATCTCAAGGACTCCGCAGACATCACAGATGGACAGAGGTCCACACTGGTGCTAGGAAGCAGGGGTGTTTGAAACCCCAGTGCCAGCCCTCATCATACCTGCATGGACTGAATTCCTTGCTGCCCCAGGGCAGCCTCAGGCTCCTTCAAGCCAGGCAGCTGCAAGAGCCACAGCTGTGAGGAGTTTCTGGAATATGTGTGTGTAAGATAATGGAAGCAAGGAGGGGTCACTGCCCTGAGGCTTATGCCAGGCTCCTAGGAGGAGGGTGGGGACCTCCCAGCCACCAGATAGACCCCAGTTCCAAGGCAAATCACTGGAGAAGATCAGGATGTCAAAAAGCCAAGCCCACCCCTTCCTTAGGTATCTTCCCATATCTGCTTAGTCACCTCTGCCACCTCTCTCAAATCTTGCTCAAATCTTAACTTCCTAATGAGGCCTACTCCCACTACCCTATTTAATCCGACAACCTGCCCACCCCCACCTGCAGCTGTCTCAGGCCCCTTACCCTGTGTTATCCCCCATAGCACACATCCTCTTCTAACACTGTTTCTAAGGGCACTTATTTTTCCATTTATTTTTTTGTTAACTCTCTGCCCTCACTAGGGTGAAGCTCCTGGAAGGCAGGGATCTTTGTCTAGCTGGTCACTGAGGTTTTCCAAATGTCTAGAAGAGCATGTGGCACTTAGTAGGTGCTCAATAAATACTTGATGAAGAAAGGAAGGAACACTCCGCCCTGAGCCACCGTCCATAGTCTCCACTTACTTACCCTTGCACGTGCCCAGGGCTCTCTCTTCCCTGGGAGGGGACATCTGCTCCTGGGCATTATGGGACCCTTCCCCAGGCTCACTTTGGGGGGCCATCTTCAGCTGTCCCACAGAGAATCCTGTCACAGGCAGAAGGATGGGTCCAAGTAAAGCATCAGTTGAGAACAGGTGATCAAAGGTGGGGGCTCTTCCCTGTCCCAGCCCACCCAAGGGGCTTTCCCCAACTTGCTCAGGAAGGAAGGGTCTCTAGCCAGGATGGACAGGGGACAGCCAGGCTCCCCTGGCCAGATATCAACCTCAGCCCCTTTGCGTGAGTCAAGGACAGACGATGGGAGAGAGGATAGATTTAAATACCCTAGTGCTCTGTGAGTATGCATGTGCACATACAGTCTAGCATAACCTCCAACATGGGCAGCCATTCAAAAACACCCTCTGGTGCAGGGGAGCAGCAGGCCTAGCATGCCCCTGAATCCTCCTACTTCCTGCCACCCCCCACCCCAGGTTCCTTCAGTTCTGCTGGCTCACCCAGGGAGCTGAGGGCTTCGAAAGTCTCTCTCATGGCAACCCAGGGGACCTCCTCCTGGGGACAGGGCCACAGACCCTAAGGAGAAAATGCATCCTTGTTCAGATTCTTCTCACGACAGCTTCCACCTGGGTCCTAGCTCTGTCCAGCCTCTCCCCAGGAGCTCCAAAGGGGATGTCCTCAGGTACAGGTGAGGGCAATGGGAAGGCAGCTTTCAGAAAGCAAAGAGATCTTTGAGGGTGGCCCAAGGAGAAGGCCTTGAAGCCATTTCTGCAAGCTAGGGTCCGCTCTGGAAATCAGCCACACTCGCTACCTGGCAGGTCTCAGAGCCAGCCCCAGGCCATCAGCGCTCCCCAACCCCCAGTGCTTTGCCAGGGGGTGTCAGGAATCAATCGATTCTGTGGGGCGAGTGCGGAGGGTGGGAGACCAGGGTGGGGAGTGGGGAACTTCATCTCCTAGGCCCACCAGCTGTCACTGCAGGAGCTGGTGAAATAGGAGCCAGCGAGGGGCGGACGTGAGTGTCACTATTGGGCAACTGGTGGGGGAGCCCTCCCAGGACGGTCCTCGCTGAAGGCAGGAAATGGCTCTTGCTTCCTCTCCCCGAAACCCTACCTCAAAATCAACGTCCCTCCCCGCGGGACTTCCCCAGGCAGGGACACCCCGTCCTCGAGCCCCCTGCCCTGCTCCTCCTCCAGCGAGTTCCCTGCCCCTCCCCCAGCAGACTCCCCTCCCCCCAATCTCTCTGGCAGCCTTCCCTCTGCCCCTCCCTTCTCCCGCTCCCTCTGCCTTCCGCCCTCTCTCCCCACCGAATCTGGCTGGCTCCCCAGCTCCGCCCCCTGCCCCGCCCCCCGGCTCCTCCCCCTGCCCGCAGCCAGCCGGGCCAACCCCTCCCGGCCCCCTCCGGTCCCCAGCCACCGCCCGCTGACCCTCCGCTGTGGGCAGTCTCGGCGGCAGCGCTCCCCTCCCCCTCCCCTCTCCCTTCCCTCCCGGCTCCATCCCCCTCCCCGGCTGCACACCCTCTCCCTTCCTTTCCCCTCCTCTTTTCCTTCCTCCCCAACACCGCCCTCCGCCACCCCTCCCCTCTCGCTCTCCTCCCCCACTCCGGTTTCCCTTCCTTCTCCTTCCCTCTCTTCACCTCAGTTCCCTCCCTCCTCCCCTCTCCCAGCCCTCCTCCCCCTCTCCCCACACCACCCTCCTCCCTCCCTCCCTCCCTCCTGCAGCTCTCCTTCCCCTCCGAGGCCCCCGTCTCCCTTCCCCCTCTGCCTCCCCTGCAGGCTCTCGCTTTCCTTCGCTCCCGGTCCCCAGTCCCCAGAACCGCTCTTCCCCTCCCCCTTCCAGTCCGCTCCCCTTGCTCCCCCCTTGTCCCCTGCCCCCCAAGCCTGCGGGGCTGAGGCTTACCGCCCACTCCGGACCCCGTCACCGGCCCTGCCCTCCCCACCCCTGCCTCCCAGCACACCTCCGCTTCCCCTCCCCTCCCTCTCAGCGGCTCCCTTCCCCATTCCTGCTCCCCACTGACTTCTCCTCACCCCTCCCAAGTTTACCTCCCGACCAGACCCCTCCCGTCCCACCTCCGCGCCTCCGCCCGCCCCCCAGAGCCTCCCTCCGCGTCCCGGCCCCCTCCCCGGCTCCGGGCTCACCTGTCAGCCCTTCTCTCCCGCCCCTCCCAACCGGCCCGATCCCCGCGCCGGGTTCTTCCTCCCCTTCCCCCGCGGCCCCCTCCCACACTCCCGCTCCCCTCCCCTCAGACTCCCCACTCCCTCCCCTCGGAAGCCTCCCATCCCCGTCCCACCGGACTCCGCCGGCCCCTCCAGCTCCCCCATCTCCCTTCTCCTCTCGACCACCTTGACCCTCCAGCCCAGCACCCCCTCCTCCAGCCCTTGCCCCTCCCCAGCCCTTCCTTCCCCTCCACCCCACTCCACCCCCTCCTGCGCTCTCCGCGCCCCCGCCCCCGGGGCTGTCACCTGCGCGGAGCGGGCAGTGACAAGTGTCGGTGTGCAAGGGGAAGCGGGCGGAGCCGCCTGCCGCTGGGCGCCTCCACCGCCCGGACCTGGCGGGCTGCCGGCCGGGTCTCCCCGCTGCTGCCGGGACCCCGGCGCCCCGGCCTCCTGCCCGGCCGGCTCCGCTAGCGATGGCGCCCGCTGCCTGCAGGCGCGGACCGCCTCGGGTGCGGACCGCCCGAAAGACTGACAGACTGACAGCCCCGAAACTTCGCGGGGAGGGGAGAGGAAAAGACGCGCAGGGAGCAGGAGCGGGGAAGCGGCGCCCTCGAGGGGGAGGGGAGCGAGGAAGCGGGAGGGGAGCAGTGGGGCACCCGGTGGGGGAGGTAGGGGGCAAGGGTGACCTGGAGTTGGGTCGCGGGAGGCGCACAGCGGGGTTAGGCGGGCAGGTGAAGGTCTGCAGGGACGTCGGCCGGAGTAGGTGATGGAAAGTGGGAGCTAAGGAACGGGGGAAGGGAAGAGGGGGCAGGGAAGGGAGGAGTGTGGGGGAAGGGGTGGAGGAGGGAGAGGAGGCAGGGAGGAAGGGCACTCGGGCTGCGAGGGAGGGTGCTCGCGGGCGTCAAGGGAGGAGCCAGGGGAAAGGTGGAGCGCGGGGCGGGGGCGCGGGGGGCGTGCGGTGAGGAGTTGGGGGAAGAGGAGGGGGTGTGTTCGGGGGAGGGGAGCAGAGTCTGCGCTCCTGTCTGTGAATCGCGAGTGCCCGCCGGGCGTGTGTCTGCGCCGCGCTCCCGCCGTGGGCTCGAGTCTCCCGACTGTCGGTCTGTGGGGTAGTTCTGGGAAACTCCGGCCCGGCCCCCGCTCTCCACCCCGATCCCACCCGGATCCACCCGATCTGAGACCCGCCGCGGGAGCCAGCTCCCTTGGGGCCGTGGGGAGAGGCGGCAGCAGACGGGGCTGGGACCGCCAATAACTCTCCCTTTGGCATAGAAATTGGGGTGGAAGCTTTGCGCCAGGTCCCCTGGGAGAAGGCAAGGCTGGAGGGGAGGCAAGAGCGGCTGAGGCAGGAGTCGAGCTGGGCGGAGACTCTGAGGGCGGGTCCCGGGGAGGGGGCTGCGGAGAGGGGAGCGTTCCTTGGGCGGAGGCGGGGGCGGATCCTCCTGCCGGGCTGGAAACCTCTCAAAGCCAGGTGTGGAGGGATGCCCTCAGCCCTCAGATCCGGCTCCTAGCCGTCCCTGCCCCGGTAATGATGTTTCTCTTGGGCCTTGCCGTCTGTGCATCTCGACTCCTGAAAGGTCCCCATATTCTGTCCTCCTCGAGCTAAAAGGTGGGCTGGTTATTCCAGGCTCCCTGGCCCTAATCTCTTTCTCCAATCTCCCCTGGGTTCCAGCTTCCCTTCTCTTGCCCCTTTAGGGGAAAAGGCGATTGTGACTAGCGTTTCTCCCCCATCCAAGTGCTGCCTTATCAGCAGTGGTTGGAATCCAGAGCTGGGAGTGAGTCCTGGGGGTGGGGGGAATGGCCCTTGGAGCGCAGAGCAAGCTCCCCTGGCTCCCACACCCCATCACAAGGAGGGGCTGCCAGGTGACCGAGAGGCACAACATACAGCAGGGGCGCCATCAGTATTCGTTGATGTTTAGAACGAGAGGCACAGGAGCAGGTGGTACCTGGAAGAGCTCCAGGTTCCTCGGAATCAGCTACGAAGGCTTTTCTACCTCCCAGATGTGCTGCTTTAGCGAGTCAGTGCCCAGCCTGCTCAGGGCCCTGGGAGCACAGTGCAGTGTGTCACTGTGTGCTGGGGTGGGGCACGAGCACCGGTGTCTGTCCTTGTGAGACCTGCAGCAGGAGTGTGAGCGTCTGAGGTGTGAGGGCGAGGGTGTCTGGGTGTGCGTGTGTGAGAGCCTGGGAATGGCAGTGTGTCCTGGCCTCACCCTGGCCCTTTGTGAGGACCCTGTCCGTGAGCTCTCTGAGCTCACTGCACCCTCTTTGGACCCCAGGATCAATGGTGGGACCGGGAGAAGAAATGCCTAGTGCAGCTCTGGTTCCCGGCAGCCTCTTGGTGCTCAGGAGTGATGCTCAGCCAGACATCAGGTTTAGGGGATGGAGGGTTTATGAATCTGAGGCCCAGGCCACATTCCAGCCTGGGTGTCCTCAGAGCTGGTAACCAGGATGTAACCAGGATTTCCCTGGGGCACCTGCTGCTGCCCCCTCCCACCCGGACGCTTGGATTATCCCATCCGGCTGCCTTGCCCCCAGGGCTGGGGCAGCTGGTTCTGCTTCCTGGTTCTGGACCCCATGGACCCTAGGAGACACTCTCAGGAGAAGACCAGGGTGGACCCAGCCAGCCACACATAATCACCCCCAGTAAGAAGTCAGATCACAGAGGAAAGGGCACACATGGTCCCCTTGTCTCTACAACTCCAATCACTCTGGAAACCCAGCAACCTTCTGCTCACTGATGCTCACTTCCAGAGTGCCTGGTGGGAGAGGGGGCAGGAGGAGGCAGAAAAGGGAACAGGTGAGAGAATCATAAAGTCAGAATTTTAGGGCCCCAAGACCAAATCAGTCATTTGGCCCCATAACTCTTAACCATTTTGTGGGATCATGGCCCCCTTCGAGAGTCAAATAAAAGTTATGGAACTGTTCTCAGAAACCTGTGTGCACACAATTTCAAAGTATTCATGGAGCTCCTGAATCCCACTGGTGCATCCCTGGCAGGCCCCTGGAGGTTTTACTGGTAAGGAAATTGAGGCCCAGAAAGGGAGGGTGGCTTGCCCAGAGTCCACATTAATTTGTGGGAGGGCCTGAGAGTGTGGAAATATCAGATGCTCAGAGCGTCTGGCTGTGGCCGGGGACACGTGCAGCCCCCTCCCCCCCATTACACACACACACACACACACACACACACACACACACACACACAGAGTTGACGGGGCGGGAAGGGAACTGTTTCCAGGGAGAGCTGGCCTGAGGGGACTGTGGGATGTGCAGGCAGGTCCAATCCAGTTCCAGGCAGCTGGTGCCCTAGGGCATGGGGCTGAGATAAAGCCTCCCCAGCCCCTTGGGCCTCAGGCTCTCAGGCTGCCTGGGTCACACTGTCTCAGGCTGCAGTAGACGACAGCTGGGGGCCAGGGAGGCCCCCAACGGCCTCTCTGCTCACCTGCCACCGCTTTGCCTCGCCAGAGCCCAAGCTCACAGTCCCCTAAAGGTGACCTGTGGAGGACGTGCCATGCTGTTCCCTGCCCTCCTCTTTGGGATGGCATTGGCACTGGCTAATGGGTAAGCGGGCCACCCCAGGCTCCTCCAACTAAGATCCTTCTCCTCCTGTCTCATGACCAGGACCCTCTGGGGCAGCCAGACTCCCCTCCCCACAGCTTCTCTCTCCCAGCCTCAGCCTCCTCATCAGCACACAACTCTTCCCTGGGAGTCGGCTCTTTGGGGAGCAGAGTCCCAGGACAGGGCTTTTTGGTGATAGAGGGGACAGTGGTAGCAGTTGTTGTTCCTCATTGTGGGCAGGCGGTGGTGTGAGCAGACGGAGACCATCCTGGGGGAGGAGGAGGTGACCCCCCGTCAGGAGGAGCTGGTGCCCTGCACCAGCCTCTACCGTTACCAGCGCCTGGGCTGGCGGCTGGACCTGTCCCGGCGTGGGCGTGCAGGGCTCTGTCCTGTCTACAAGTGAGTGAGGGTCAGGGCCTGGGCTGGCTGCGGAGGAGGAGAGAGTGATGGGGCAGTGTCCTAAGAGTGGGGGAGGCCTGGGTGGTGACCTGGAGAAGCAGGCATTTGGTAAGTAGGTCTGGGTGGGCTCACGATGGGCAGAGAGTGTGGGATTGGCGGGGGTGGTCGAGTGGGCACTACTGTGGGCAGTGCAGGGAGAGGCCCGAGGCCCGCCCCCTGTGCCCACCCTCCAGTCTGCCTCCCCAAGATCATTCTCGCTTCGCATGTGGAGAAATTAAGACCAAGAAGGGGAAATTTCACAATAAAGCCACTCAGAGAGTAGGTGACCAGGTAGACTGGCACAGGCCATTCCCAGGGACGGGGCAGGGCTGAACACTAACACCTTCTCTCTTCTGCCTGTTCGGTGGACCCAGGCCCCCAGAAACCCGGCCTGCTGCATGGAACCGGACGGTGAGGGCTTGCTGCCCAGGCTGGGGGGGCACCCACTGCACCCTGGGTAAGCGCCTGAGATTAGCCAGATCTGTGGTTTCCTGGAGGTAGCAGGCTGCCTGGGGAGGGAGGTGGGTCTGGGCTAACTGTCTGGGTCTGCCCCATTCTCTCCCTCTACCCCCACAGCCCTTGCAGAAGCCAGTCCTGAGGGCCACTGCTTCGCCACGTGGCAGTGCCAGCTGCGGGCAGGCCTAGCTAATGCTTCTGCAGGAAGCCTGCAGGAGTGCTGTGCCCGGCCTTGGGGACACAGCTGGCAGGACGGCAGCTCCCAGGTCTGCCTCAGCTGCTCCCGCCTACAACTCCCAGGTGGGTCCACAGACCCCAGCCTGCCAATGGGCACGTCGCCATCACCTGCTCCCCCCACAGGCACTCCCATATAGTTCTTGAGCTCTGGGCCTTCCCGCAGGGCTCATGCCTGCTCCCTTGTACTCTCAGATGAGTCACCTCCCATGCCCTGCCCACAAGAGTGACCATGAGCTGTCTGCCTGCGTCCTGCTCTGTGAGGATCCCATGTCCTCACCCTCTGCCCTCCTGCCCACACACTCAGAGGCTCACAGTTGGCGTATCTCCCTCAGGCAACACCCCCTCTCCGGCCCTCCTGCAGCCCCTGGCAGGGGCCGTGGCCCAGCTCTGGAGCCAGCGCCAGCGTCCCTCAGCCACCTGCGCTACCTGGTCAGGCTTCCACTACCGAACCTTTGATGGGCGCCACTACCACTTCCTGGGCCGCTGCACCTACCTGCTTGCGGGTGCTGCTGATTCCACCTGGGCTGTCCGCCTTGTGCCCAGGGGGCATTGTCAGCAGCTGGGGCACTGTCAGCTGGTGAGGGAGGGAGATGGGGACAGACACAGGGAGGGAGCTGGACATGGGAGGAGGAGAGCCACTGACCACCTCTTCCGCTACGTGTCTCCCCCAAGGCCCGGGTGATGATGGGACCTGAGGAGGTGCTGATCCAGGGTAGAAATGTCTCTGTGAACGGGCAGCTGATTCCTGACGGGGAGTCTCGGCTGCTCCCCGGTAAGGGAGCTGGGGGGAGCAGGAGATGGCCCAGGGCCCCATCTGCTCCTCTGGGACAGGCTGCCCATCCCCCAGCGCGGGGGTCAGAAGGGGCAGCTGGGTGGGAGCCAGCAGCCTCCGCAGCCTCCGCCACTCCCAGTTCTGTGGGAGGCATCTGGAAATGAGGAGCCAGGAGGTGTGGACTGCTACCCCGCCCCTACGACCTGCCCCACCAACCCCTCACAGTGTGCCCTGGGGCAAGTCCCTCTACTCAGCCTCTCTGAGCCTCAGTTTCCCCACCTGCCTCCTGGACTGCTGTGAGGAAGGGCTTGTGTGCCACCAGATGGAACTTTTGTCCTGGTTGGGGTCCATGGAGTGAGGTGGGGGCACATATCGTGGTTTACTCTCAAGAGAGTGTCCACAGCGTTGATGAACTTCTCAGAGGGCTGAGATGGGAAACCAATCACTTCTGCCTTAATGGGTGTGAAGTGCAGAGAATTCTTTTCCTTCTCCTCTCCTTCCCTGGGCAGTCTGAGCCCTGGTGTGATGGGGGGAGAAGTGTGACCCCCGCTCCCCCGTCCAGGGCTGAGCCTGCAGTGGCAAGGGGACTGGCTGGTGCTGTCAGGGGGCCTGGGGGTCGTTGTGCGGCTGGACAGGTCCAGTTCGGTCTCCGTTTCTGTGGACCACGAGCTCCAGGGACAGACTCAAGGCCTCTGTGGTGTCTACAATGGCCGGCCTGAGGGTAAGTGGAGCGTGGCTTGGTTGCTGCCGTAGGAGAGAGGGGGAGACAGGAGACCCCAGACACAGCACCTCTGCCTCCCTCTTCCCCAGATGACTTCTTGGAGCCGGGTGGGGGGCTGGCTGTGTTTGCTGCCACCTTTGGGAATTCCTGGAGGCTCCCCGAGTCAGAGGTGAGATGCAGCCCTGGGCCCCCTGCTCCTGCCTGCCGCCCACTCCTGGCTTCTCTGATACCTCCTAGCCTTTGTTCTCTGTCTCCCTCGCTGCCCTCTTCCCTGGGACAGGGCCTGGCCCTCTCCAGATCCTCAGGGGGAGGGAAGGCAGGCTCAGGGTCCAGCAGGAGCGCCGTGTCAGGTGCTGCCCTGCTGCCCGTAGCCCCAGCTGATGCGTGAACTGACCACCCAGGGGACGCACTCACCAACCTGGTCACTGAGCAGCTTTGGTTAACTAGCTCGTTACTGAACTTGCTGCCAGTGGGTTGACGGTGACTGCGGCTCCCCGGCCCTCCATCTGGCCTTGCCACTTTGCTGCCCGCCACTGCCCCAGGGCCTTGAAGCAGCTATGAGGGCAGTGGCCATTTTCCTGGTGTCTTGGTTAATGTGCCTCATTCTGTCCCCCTGGCCTGACTCCAATTGTCCCCAGCCTGGGTGTCTGGATGCAGTGGAGGTGGCCCCAGGCTGTGACGACCCCCTGAGGGGCACAGAGGCAGGCATGGAGGCTGGCCAACTGCGGGCTGAAGCCCAGGATGTGTGCCACCAACTGCTGGAAGGTCCATTCAGGGAATGCCATGCCCAGGTAGGGGTAGGGGTGGAGGTAGTGTCTGCCACTGGAGGGGTGGGTGCTAGAGAGATGCCAAATGGGGAGTCTGGTCCTGCCACTAGATTGCTTTGGACCATCAGTCATGCCACCCCTCTCTGTCCCCAATGTTATCACTGGGAAATGAGATGGCTCATATGTATGATCTCTGAGGTCCCCTCCAGTGCTCCTCTGTTTGATGATAAACCAGGGTGACATAGAAGCAAGGGGAGGGAGGTGCTAGTGAGTGTTGGGAGAGAAGGCTGGTTGGCTGAGGGGCTGTCCTTTCTGGGCAGGTCCCCCCTGCTGAGTACCACGAGGCCTGCCTCTTTGCCTACTGTGCTGGGGCCCCAGTGGGCAGTGGGCAAGAAGGGCGGCGGGCGGCTGTGTGCGCCACCTTGGCCAACTACGCCCAGGACTGTGCCAGGCGGCGCATCCACGTGCGCTGGAGGAAGCCCGGCTTCTGCGGTAGGGCTCCTGCCTGTCCCTCTCTGCACCGCCGGGCCTCCTCACCCTGCGGAATTGGCAACTGATCAAGGGCCCTCCCTGACGGCTGCCGAGCCTTCCCGGCTCTTCAGAGGCAGCGGGGTCTGGCGGGAGGAGCGGAGTCCTCGGGCCTCACAGCACTCGGGCCTCACAGCCCACTCGTGTGCCCGCAGAGCGCCTGTGCCCGGGAGGCCAGCTGTACTCGGACTGCGCCTCGGCCTGCCCGCCCAGCTGCTCCGCCGTGGGCGCGGGAGGGGAGGGGTCCTGCGGGGAGGAGTGCGTTAGCGGCTGCGAGTGCGCGCCCGGCCTCTTCTGGGACGGCGTCCTCTGTGTGCCTGCTGCCCGCTGCCCCTGCTACCACCGCCACCGGCGCTACTCCCCTGGTGACACCGTGCGCCAGCTGTGCAACCCATGGTGGGTCTGCGGGCCTCGCTGATCCTTTCGGTGGGCTTGGAGGCCGCCTGGTCCCCTCTGATCCTTCCCTTCTGCTATCTCCTCAACGTGGCTCCCCTTCCGGGGCCTCCCTCCTGTGACCTCTCATGGCAAAAGTGATGGCCCTGCTTCAAGACCTAGCCAGTGACCTCCACTAGCTGACCTCTAATCCTAAAAGGGGAGGAGAGTGTGCGGGGGGCGGGGGGGGGAGGAACCAGGGCATTGGGGGTCGGGAGGTCGTCTCCAGCTCAGCCCCTCTCCGTCCCCCTCCCTCCCCCGAGGGGGCCGATCCGAAGCGCACTCCCCGCCCCCATGTGCCCGCAGCGTGTGCCAGGACGGCCGCTGGCTCTGCGCGCAGGCGCCGTGCCCCGCCGAGTGCGCGGTGGGCGGGGACGGGCATTACCTCACCTTTGATGGACGGAGCTTCTCCTACCGCGGCAGCCCTGGTTGCCGCTCCAGCCTGGTGCAGGTGGGCAGAGGACTAACTGCGGAGGGAGTGGGGCTTGCCAGAGCAGGGGCCCTCGTAGGGGTGCTGCGGGGGAGAGGTGACAGTAAGGAAGCCACCAAACAAAGAAACAAAACACACAGTCGTGCAGGGAAACGCTGAGAAAACCGATTCTGGAGGGAGGATGGCTGCCGCAGACCACCCACCCCATCCTCCCCTTTGGGTTACCTCCTCCTTAGGTTCCCGTGAAAGTTCTCTCGTCGCCACCCCAGCCCAGGGGCACAAAACAAAACTTCCTCACACTCCTTTCTTACAGCAGGACAGGCTGGGCTTGTCACAGGCTACTTCAGGCAAAGCAAGCCCAGGGGAAATAAGGGTCCTCTTTCCTACCCAGCCATCCCCCATAAAATTAAGTGACTTCCCAAGTTCCGGCACAGGCCACATTCTTAACACTGGACACACAGGCTTGTACACATGACACATATTCTGTGTGCACATAGATTTAGCATGCATGTACGCACAGACACACTTAGAGATGAGCATACATACCCCCGGGAAGGAAGGAGGGGAGCCATCTCTCCCCAGCACACAGACATATACATACATACACACATGCGTGCACACACACCTCCACATGCACATGTGCCAGTGCTTGAGAGGTTAAGCCCTGGCCTCACAGGGAGTCTGGCTGGCTGGAAGGTGGGTCAGCACACATGTTGGGTGGGAGCTTGTCCAGGTGTGTGCTGCGGGTCTCCTGTAAGACAGAAGAAGGCGCAGAACAGACCCTGGTCTCAGGGTGTGCCCCACTCCCCCCACCGCATTCCTCACCATCTGGCCCAGGACTTCGCCAAGGGGCAGCTGCTGATTGTGCTGGAGCACGGGGCCTGCGACTCTGGGAGCTGCCTCCGTGCCATCGCTGTCTCCTTGGGGGACACCCACGTCCAGCTCAGGGACTCAGGTAGCCTCAGCTTTCAGGTACCTCCCTTCCAGGCCTTCTGCCCCCCGCAGCCCTTGGGAGTGTGGCTCAGGCCCTGGCAGCTTCCTGCCACTCTCCTCTCCCTGCGGACTCGGGCTCTGTCCAGCACCTTCTGTCCACGCTGCCCTGTGGTTTCTGAGCCCGAAGTCTGCCCCCAGACTCCAACCAAATTCGCTGCCTCAGCTTCCCCCTAGCCCCTCATCTCTGAAGCAGATACACAGTCCTGTGGAAAGTTTCCAAGGCATCTTCTGCCCCATCCTCCAGGGTAAATACAAGTCATACAGTTCTGAGAGGTCCGAGAGGCCTCAGGGCAGAACCAGGCTGGACAGGCCCTTCCCAGCTCTGGAGAGCCAGTGCCTGCAGTCTGTCCACCTCTCCTTCCTGTGTCTGCTCCTGGCTCTCTCTGCCCAGCTCCTCTTGTGCACTGACTCCAAAGGCAAAGTGGGTGCTGAGGGTGGTCTTTGGGCCACATGGGGAGGTGCTCAGTTGAGACAGGTGACCTCCCAGGGCTCGCTCCAGTTCCCCTTGCTCTCTGTGGGCAGCCCACCATGACATAGGCCCTCCCATCTCCCATCCAAAGTCCTTCCCCTTCTCAAAACTCCATCCTGTGATGTGGTCTCCCTCCATCTTCCTCAGGCCAGCCCTGCCCTGAGGGGGCCACCCCCTCACAAGCCCCCTCTTCCAGGAGCTGTGCTGGTTGATGGGCAGGATGTGGGCTTGCCCTGGAAAGGCCCCGAGGGCCTCAGCCTCTCCCGAGCCTCCTCCACCTTCCTGCTGCTGCGCTGGCCTGGGGCCCAGGTGCTCTGGGGAGTGTCCGACCCTGCAGCTTACATCACCTTGGATCCCCGCCATGCCCACCAGGTGTGCCTGGGGGCGAGTGAGTGGCTGGGTGAGGCCAGGGTGGGACCGGATTTGACTGTTCCATGCCCACTTCTGCGGCCCAGGTGCAGGGTCTGTGCGGCACCTTCACCAGGAACCAGCAAGATGACTTTCTGACACCTGCCGGTGATGTGGAGACCAGCGTTGCCGCCTTTGCTAGCAAGTTCCAGGTGGCAGGCGAGGGAAAGTGCCCCTCGGAGGACAGAGTCCTGCTTTCCCCCTGCAGCACCCACGCTCAGCTCCATGTTTTCGCCGAGGCAGCCTGTGCCTTCCTGCGTGGCCCGGCCTTCCAGGTAGCCAGGTCGAGGGTGCTCCTCCTGTTCACACCTGTAAGATGGGGTCAGCACCTGCCCTGCCCTCCTCCTGGGCTATCAGGAGACGCTGCTCCCTGCAGTGGCAGGGCTGCTGAGCACAGGGAGGTGGCAGTGGGGACCGAGGGGGCGGGGGAATCCGTGGGGGAGGAGCTGACCCATCATCTCCCCCCAAGGAGTGCCACAGGCTGGTGGACAGGGAGCCGTTCCACCTGCGCTGCTTGGCAGCCGTGTGTGGCTGTGCCCCCGGCAGGGACTGCCTGTGTCCTGTGCTCGCTGCCTATGCTCGCCGCTGTGCCCAGGAGGGTGCCTTGCCTCCCTGGAGGAACGAGACCCTCTGCCGTGAGACCGCTCAGCCCCACCCCCAGGCTCCTTCTCCCAGCCCCTTCTAGGAGTCGCTTAGAGGGATCCAAGAGCTTTGCAGCAGGAGTGGGTCCCCAGGAGAGCTTCTGGCCTTGGCAGATTGCTGGGTTTGCCTTCTTTTGGAGGCGTAGAGGGTGTGGGGTCCGGAGGGGTGGGCAGAGAAACAGTGGCTCTGCCCCTGACCTGCATGTGTCTCTGTGCCCAGCTGTCCTGTGTCCTGGTGGCCAGGAGTACCAAGAGTGTGCCCCAGCATGTGGTCGAAACTGTGGGGAGCCAGAAGACTGTGGGGAGCTGGGCGGCTGTGTGGCCGGTTGTAACTGCCCCTTGGGGCTGCTGTGGGACCCCGAGGGCCAGTGTGTGCCCCCCAGCTTGTGCCCCTGCCAGCTTGGAGCGCATCGATATGCCCCTGGCAGTGCCACCATGAGGGACTGCAACCACTGGTGAGGGCGGTGATCTTTGGAGGGAGGCAGAGAGCTTGGGGGTGAAGAGGTGGAGCTTAGAGAAAAGGAACTGGGCTTGTAGCCCAGGGGTTACACCCTGGAGGGCACGGCTGGGATGACAGAGTGCTCAGGTGTGGAGCACTTTCGGGCCTGTAAAGCACTTTCACGTACATTATCTTATTTAATCTTACTTACTTCTAACAATAACCTAGTAAAGTAGGAGGTAGAAGAATTGTTCCCATTCTGCAGATTAGGAAACTGAGGCTCAAATAAGCTAACCGGCCTGCAGAGTCACACAGCTTGTTAATGATGAAGGACTAGAACCCAGATCTCTGAATTCCAGTTGAGTGTGGTCCAGAGGCTCTTCCAAGGGTTAGGGAGAAGTAAAGGCAAGTTAGGGACCTGTGGAGGCGGGGCCAGGGTCCCGGGCTTGGTGAGAGAGGGTGAGACTTCAGTGAACTCCCTCTCCTGGCCGGGCTGGGAGTGGGGTTGTTCAATGTCTTTGCCCCTCCCCAGAGCCCAGAGAATGGCCTCATTGGAGCTGGGGCAGGAAGGGTGACTGTGTCTACCCCAGGTATGGCCAGTGCTGGGAATAGCCCCACTTCCTATAACACTGGGGTGTTGTGGGTGAGAGGTCAGGTCTCCAGAGTCAGGCCTGGGTTTTCCAGACCCCTGGGTCTCTGAGGCTCTCCCAGGTCAGGCAGGGGCCTGGAGGTGAGTGCAGGTTTGACCTGGCTATCACCTCCCTCCCAACCTCCGGTAGTGTCTGCCAGGAGCGGGGCCTCTGGAACTGCACTGCTCGCCACTGTGCCCCACAGCGGGCATTCTGCCCCCGTGAGCTTGTCTATGTTCCTGGTGCCTGCCTCCTCACCTGTGACAGCCCCAGTGCCAACCAGTCCTGCCTCCGGGGCAGCATGGGGGGCTGTGTCTGTCCCCCAGGCACCGTGCTGCTGGTAAGTCCCGGGGGCTGCATGGGGCACCGTGGGGCCTGCCGTAACCAGGGCACTACCCTGACCCCTGGCTGTCCAAAACAGTGGGCGGGGCATTGGGCGGCCCTCCAAGGTGCCCCTTTGTCCCGGCCTCTGCCCAGGATGAGCGCTGTGTGCCTCCCGAGCTCTGTCCCTGCCGTCACGGCGGGCAGTGGTATCCACCCAACGCCACCATCCAGGAGGACTGCAACATTTGGTATGCCCAGCCCCATGACCTGTAACCCTGTGACCTAGTGACCCCTGGCTTGGGGCTGGGGTGATGGGTGGGGTGGGATATCCAGACTGGCCTGGACAATGGGAGCCCTCAGGATCCTTCCAAGCTGAGGGTCTGTCTGGAGTTGCTTGGAACTTGGACCAGCTGCCTCCCCTGGATACAGCTCCTGGTCCCTGTCCTAGTGACTCTGTTTCCCCTCCTTGCCCACAGTGTGTGTCAGGGCCGGCAGTGGCACTGCACGGGCCAGCGGTGTGGTGGATGGTGCCAGGCATCGGGTGCCCCGCACTATGTGACATTCGATGGGCTGGCCCTCACCTTCCCCGGGGCCTGCGAATATCTGCTGGTGCGAGAGGCCAGTGGCCGGTTCGCTGTCTCTGCCCAGAACCTGCCCTGCGGGGCCAGCGGCCTCACCTGCACCAAGGCGCTGACCGTGCGGCTGCAGAACACTGTTGTGCACATGCTCAGAGGTGGCTGCGACAGTGAAGGGTGACATTGCCAGGGAGGGGCACCCAGGTGGAGTCACCGCTCTGCCCTGGTGGCCGAGGCCCAGGGTTCCCCGTGTCTCCCCACTGCTTGCCATCAGTGCGGTGGGGCTAGTGCCTCTCCTCTTGGTTGGGAATCAGAATTCTGGAAGGCTCCAGGAAATTAAGGCCCAGAGAAGTCTAATGACTTGCCCAACGTCACGCAGCTAGAGAAGCAAAGGAAGGTGGGAGGGGAGGCTGGGAGGGCCTCATGGGGATCTGGGAGCCCCTTTGCCCTGAACATCTCTCTCTTCCTCCACAGGCCAGGCGGTGACGGTAAATGGGGTGAGCGTGACACCCCCCAAGGTCTACACGGGCCCCGGGCTGAGCCTGCACCGGGCTGGCCTCTTCCTGCTGCTCAGCACCCGCCTGGGCCTCACCCTGCTCTGGGATGGAGGTCAGGCCCCACCCTTAGCCATCCGACTCATACCCCGAAACTCCCCCCAACCTCCCCCCTTCCATACATGTGGTTAGAATTTCCAAATTGTGTTTTTCATAATTATGTTTTTCTTCATTATGAAAGCGATACCTCCTCACCAAAGAAACATTTAGAAAATACCAAGTTTTAAAGAGATGAAATGAAAATAAATCTCCTAACGTCCCACCACCCAAACCCAAGCTGTTGGCATTTTAAAAATAACATTCCCTAGCTCGGTGTGGGAAGGAGTCACCTGGTCAGCGCAGCACGCTGCCCTCTGAGCCTCCGGCCACCAAGGCCTCTGGGGCTGGGGGCGTCACGGTCGGTCCTGGAGCCCGTTTCCGTCCCGAGTCTGGCCCACTGGAGACTTTCCCTGTCCCCTGCCCCTGGTTTTAGTTAGGAGAGTAGGCTCCCCCTCCTTGCCCTAGCCCCCCAATGTACATCTCTTCCTTTATTCCCCTCTGAAAAAGAGGGAACCAGGACCCCCTATTGGGTGGTGGTACCTGTGCAGATGGTCAGACAGGCCTACACGATAGGTGCCTTGGTCTTCTCCCTGCTGGCCCTGATGAAGGCCCGCGGGGTCACTTCTCTACAATGCCGCCCCTGCCACCCTCTCTGCTCAGGCACCCGGGTCCTGGTGCAGCTGTCCCCCCAGTTCCGTGGCCGTGTGGCTGGGCTGTGTGGAGACTTTGATGGAGATGCCAGTAACGACCTTCGGAGCCGCCAGGGAGCCCTGGAGCCCACGGCTGAGCTGGCCGCCCACTCCTGGCGCCTCAGTCCCCTCTGCCCCGAGCCAGAGGACCTGCTGCACCCCTGCATCGTGAGCACGGGCTGGGAAGGGGGAAGGGAGGTGGGGAAGCTGTGGAAACCCGGGGGAGTCCCAGAGGCTGGGTGCTGCGGAGGTCTGGCTGGTCCACAGTGCTGTGCCTGCAGGTGAATGCCCACCGGGCCAGCTGGGCTCGCGCCCACTGCGGGGTGATGCTGCAGCCGCTCTTTGCGCGGTGCCACGCGGAGGTGCCCCCACAGCAGCACTACGAGTGGTGTGTGTACGACGCCTGCGGGTGAGAGGCGGGGGCCTGGGGACCGCTGGGGATGGGAGTGTGGGGTGGGGAGGGTTGCTGGGGCTGAACGCTCCCTCCCACAGCTGCGATTCGGGGGGCGACTGTGAGTGTCTCTGCTCAGCCATCGCCACCTACGCAGACGAGTGTGCCTGGCACGGGATCCATGTGCGCTGGCGAAGCCAGGAGCTCTGCCGTGAGTGTGTCCTGCCCTTAGTCCCCGATGCCCAATCCTGCCACACGCTCAGCTCCTTCAAAGATGCTTCTTCTGGCCTGCGAGCCGCCATTTATTCATTCAAGGGCGAATATGTGTGGACACTTACTATGTGCCAGACGCTTTTCTAGATGAACCAAACATGCCAAAATTGCTGCCCCGTGGAACTTGCGTATTGCAAATAGCCTTGGGAGGGGCTCAGCAAGAGTCTACAGCATGTACCATAGGGCCCTCTGTGGATGTCACCTTGGGCTGGCTCACCTGCTGCTGTTGCATCCTAGTGCACTTGTGCCTCAGTGACCCAAGTCTCTCTCCTCTCCACCCAGCTCTGCAGTGTGAAGGGGGGCAGGTGTATGAGGCCTGTGGCCCCACATGTCCCCCCACCTGCCATGACCATGGTCCTGAGGCCGGGTGGCACTGCCAGGCTGTTGCCTGCGTGGAGGGCTGTTTCTGCCCTGAGGGGACTCTGCTGCACGGTATGTAGGGTTAGAATGGGCAGAGGGCATGGGGCACTGGGATGGGGAAAGGGCCACAAGGCCATGGTAACAGGGCTGGTGCTAGGGGCTGCCATGCCCCTTTTGCTCCAAGCCCTGCCCTCTGTTGTCTCAGGAGGAGTCTGCTTGGAGCCGACCTCCTGCCCCTGTGAGTGGGGGGGCAGCTTCTTCCCGCCGGGGACTGTGTTGCAGAAGGACTGTGGGAACTGGTGAGTGGGGAGCCTCGGGAGGAACCCCGTGCCCCCTGGGCTGCTGAGCCCAGCGCTGCGGCTGATCCCAGGACACCATGTGCTCAGCACGTGCCAGGAAAGTCAGTGGCTTTGTGGAGGTGACGGTACGCGCTGTGAGGAGCCGGTGCCTGGCTGTGCGGAGGGAGAGGCCCCATGCCGGGAGAGCGGGCACTGTGTGCCCCCCGAGTGGCTTTGTGACAACCAGGATGACTGTGGCGACGGCTCAGACGAGGAGGGTGAGTCCTCGCCTGTGTGTGGCAGTGGCTGAGTGACAGGTTGGTCCTCATATGTGTACCTGAAGTATGTGTCCTAGGGTGGCTCCCTAAGCTGCTGCTCCCATTGCCAGCAGCTCTGACCTGTGGGCAGGGTGTTGTGGTCTTCCTGGGGTTGGGGGCTTCTCTGAGACCCTTTGCCGGCATCCTGAGCCTGTCTGCTCCCCTCATGCCAGGCTGTGCCACTCCAGGCTGTGGGGAGGGGCAGATGTCTTGCAGCTCCGGCCTCTGCCTGCCCCTGGCCCTGGTCTGTGATGGGCAGGATGACTGTGGAGACGGGATGGACGAGCAGGGCTGCCCATGCCCCCAGGACTCGCTGGCCTGTGCTGACGGGCGCTGCCTGCCCTCAGCTCTGCTCTGTGATGGACACCCGGACTGTCCAGACGCTGCTGACGAGGAGTCCTGTCTGGGTGGGTGGTCCCTGCCGTGGACTCCAGTCCACCAGGCACCCCCTCCTGCAAGGCCCCTCTGCCTGCCTCCCCTCCTTCACCAATCCAGGTTCCCACTGGGAAGTTGGCACCTGTGGGTGTGTGAGTGGGGGCACCTCAAACAGTGAGAATAAGGGGCAGTGCCCTGGGACCAGCTCCTCCTTCCTCTGGCTGCAGGGCAGGTGAACTGCAGCCCTGGGGAGGTGTCCTGTGTTGATGGCACCTGCGTGGGGGCCATCCAGCTGTGTGACGGAATCTGGGACTGCCCAGATGGAGCTGATGAGGGGCCTGGGCACTGCCCCCTCCCCTCTCTGCCCACTCCTCCAGCTGGCACCCTGACTGGCCCCTCTACTGGCTCCCAGGAGACTGCACCAACTGCCCTGGCCAGCACCAGCCCCGGTGAGTCTCCTGGAGGACAAGGGGTGAGAAGTCTTGAGGCCTGGGGGAGAGAGGAGGGGAGAGCATCTCACAGGGAGGGGTGTGGGGCAGGTCTAGGGGTGGGAAGGAGCAGGGCACAGACCCAGCCTCCTGGACACACCAGCATGAAGGATGTGAAGGGTGTTTGAGGGGGCCTGAGACTCCACACCTTACTTCCTGACGTTCAAGGCCCCCTCTGAGCTAAGGAGAGTCTAATGGAAATTCTTGGAGGAGGGGAGAGCTTTTGGGAAACCAGTAGGGCAGCAAAATGCGGGAGCGATTGGCCTTGGGGAGGGGCTGAAGGTGGGGAGAGGACGCGCTCAGGTAAGGGGCAGGAAGGGCCTGGAGCGGGGCGGGGGCGGCGGGGAAGGAAAGGCCAGGCGGCGGTGGCGGAGCCCCGTTGGCCCGCCAGGGTCTAGCGCGGTGGCCGCCGCAGCGCCGCCCTGCGGCCCCTTCGAGTTTCCGTGCGGCAGCGGCGAGTGCGCCCCGCGGGGCTGGCGTTGCGACGGGGAGGAGGACTGCACCGACGGCAGCGACGAGCGTGGCTGCGGCTGGCCCTGCGCGCCCCACCACGCGCCCTGCGCCCGCGGCCTGCACTGCGTGGCCCTGGAGCGGCTGTGCGACGGCGTGCCGCAATGCCCCGACGGCTCGGACGAGGGCCCCGACGCCTGCGGTGAGAGCCCGCCAGCCGCGCAGCCCTGCTGGCCCAGCCGGCTGGGCGCCACACACCCCCACCCCACTACCCGCCCCGCCCCCCCCAGTGGACCTTCACCCCCTGCGGCTCGGGGTGGGCGCTCCTGCCAGAGAGTGACTTAGTCTGGGGGCATCAGAGTCTGAGTGAGTTTTGTGCTCCTTAGATCTGTTTCATGAAACTCTCTTTGAAAACTTTTGCCCTCTGGCCCCAACCCAGGGAACTGAAGAAAGGGGCTTTTGTCTGTCCACATTTGGGCAAGAGGGGATAAGAGAGTGAGCAGTGAGTGGCTGTGCAGGCATGGGGACCAGGCCTGTTTGGAGGGCCACCCCCACAACCCCCCCCCCACACACACACAGCTCCTCCCCATCAGACCTGAGGGTTCCATTTGTGCCCCTGTAAGTCAGCCCTTCATGTCCTGGCCACTCCCCTTACCCCTACTCTGCTACCACCACCCCATCCCACTATGGGCCCGGCCTGCCCCTCCTGGCCCCCTCCCAAAGGTGTCTTTGAGCCCAGTGTGGTCCGCCCTGCCCTCCTCTGCAGAGACAGGGCAGGAGGGGCAGGAGGACCGAGAGCATAGCAGGACACTTCCTCTGGTGTCCGGTCTCCACCCAGCTGCCCCCATGCGGCGGCCTCTTTCCCTGTGGTTTGGCTCCTGCCTGTGCCTGAACCCTGAGTGGCTCTGCGATGGGATCCCCGACTGTCCCCAGGGCATGGATGAGCTGGGCTGTGGTGTGGACACTTGGTTCCCCTGAGGGAGGCCAGGCTGGCCGGGGCCCAGGAGGTGGCACTCACTCCCCACCTAACTGTGTTTTCTCTTCTCTTTCCCTCAGAGGGGCTGCCGGCCCCAGGAGGCCCCAACGGGACTGGGGTGCCCTGCCCAGAATATTCCTGTCCGGATGGCCTCTGCATCAGCTTCCAGCTGGTGAGGGTGGGGAGTGGGTGGTGCAGGAGGCAGGGCCATTGTCCCACCCAAAGCAAAAGGAGCCCAGACCGCGTTCTCCCTGCAGGTGTGTGACGGGCACCCTAACTGTGAATTGGCAGGGGGGGCAGGGCCCTCCCCCGAAGAACGGGGCTGTGGGGCCTGGGGCCCGTGGGGCCCATGGGGCCCCTGCAGCCGGACGTGTGGCTCTGGGGTGCAGGTCCGGAGCCGCCGCTGCTCCCCACCCGGCCTCCCCGTGCTGCAGCACTGCCCTGGCCCCGAGCACCAGACGCAGGCCTGCTTCACAGCTGCCTGTCCAGGTGAGGGCCTGGGGCGCCCGGGAGGGCCAGCAGAGCCTGCAGAGAGCAGGAGAGAGGGAGGCCCCTGGGCGCCAGCCCGACCTCATGGTGCTCCCCCATGCCTGGCTCCTCCTCCTACAGTGGATGGTGAGTGGACCCCCTGGTCTTCCTGGTCCTCATGCTCTGAGCCCTGCGGGGGCACTATGAGCCGGCAGCGGCAGTGCCACCCGCCCCAGAACGGGGGCCGGACCTGTGCCATGCTGCCCGGGGGCCCTCCCAGCACCCACCAGACCAGTGAGTGGAAGGGAGGAGGGCACGGTGGAGGGAGTGTGGAGGGGCTGCTGGTGGGCAGCTTGTCCCTGTAGGGGGTCCACCCTCCTGACCTCCGGCTTCGGCTTTCCCCCAGGGCCCTGCCCCCAGGACGGCTGCCCCAATGCCACCTGCTCTGGGGAGCTGGTGTTCCGGCCCTGTGCCCCCTGCCCTCTGACCTGCGATGACATCTCTGGGCAGGCCGTGTGCCCCAATGACCAGCCCTGCAGCAGCCCAGGTGAGGGGGGCCCTGGGCATGGGGCGTGGCGGGCGTGTCTGCAGAGGCCAGCCCTCTGCGGGGCCTCTCACCCTGGCCTTCCCTAGGCTGCTGGTGCCCTGCAGGGCAGGTGCTGGGTGCTGAGGGGCGGTGTGTGTGGCCCCGGAAGTGCCCCTGCCTGGTGGATGGCTCCCGCTACTGGCCTGGGCAGCGCATCAAGGTCGACTGCCGGCTCTGCGTCTGCCAGGACGGGCGGCCCCGGCGCTGCTGGCCCGACCCCGACTGTGCCGGTGAGGCCCCACCCTCGGCCCTTCCCAAGGGTCCCTGGTGCCCTCCCAGACCACCCAGCGGGGCACCCACCCCTCCCACGGCCCTGACTCTTGGCCCCCCTTCAGTGAACTGTGGCTGGTCATCGTGGTCCCCCTGGGCTGAGTGCCTGGGCCCCTGTGGGAGCCAGAGCGTTCAGTGGGCCTTCCGGAGCCCCAACAACCCCCATCTCTCCGGCCGAGGTCGCCAGTGCTGGGGCATCTACCGCAAGGCCCGCAGGTACTTGTCCCCACCCCAGGGACCTGCAGGGCACTTGACCCCTGACCTCCAGCTACCAGGTAGGAAGCTGCCTGTGTGCCTTTCTCACTCAAGGTGCTTCCACCTACACCACGAACCGCAAGTAAGGACGCCCATTCTATACCCCTATACCCTAAACCTCAGGACTCCCAGCATCTTTGGGGACCCCTGGCCTTCTCATGCATCAGTTTAATGCCCTCTAGGTCCAAAAGGGGGATGTAGGGAGCCCACAAATGCAGCTTGGTAAGTCCAAGGGTGGGTATGGGTCCTCTGGTGTACTCCCCTGTGCTCTGGAGGTACCTGGGGCGAGGTTTGTAGGGGGTATAGCTGTATCTGCCTTTTCAGCCCCCTCTGGCACAGGTTCCACTGGCCAGGGGTCCTGGCACAAATTGCTTCCATGCCCCTCTCTTGGGCCAGTTGCAGTTTCTCAGGTGCAGGGGTGGGGTTCGGGTGATAGGGTGACCAAGCGTCCCCATTGGCCCAGGACTTTCCCGGGTTTATTACTGAAAGTCCCAAGTCCTGGGAAACCCTCACCCCAGGCAAACCGGGATGGGTTGGTGACCTAGGTGAGCCCTCTCACCAGGGTGGGGCGGCCCTCCCTTGACAGGTGCCAGACGAGGCCCTGCGAGGGCTGTGAGCAGCAGGGCTGGGTCCACCACGTCGGGGAGCGCTGGCGCCGGGGCCCCTGCACGGTCTGCCAGTGTCTGCACAACAGCACTGCACGCTGCTCCCCCTACTGCCCGCTGGGCAGCTGCCCCCAGGTGAGGGGGTCTGGGGGATGGGAGGGACAATGCAGGGTAGGGGGGCAGTGTGTAGAGGCCAGGGTTGTGGACGGCTGATGGAGTGGGTCAGAGGGAGGCAGGTGGCCAGCTCAGCGTGTCCAGCCTGACTCTTATGCCCGCAGGACTGGGTCCTGGTGGAAGGAATGGGAGAGTCGTGTTGCCACTGTGCCCCACCTGGTGAGTGGTCTGGGGGATGGCAGAGGAGCCCCAAGGGGAAGAGGATGGTGAGGACTCAGAGGGGGCCAGAGGTGGCAGCACCAAGTCAGGGTGTGCTGGATGCCCCAGCCTCAAACTGTTGGGAGCCTGGGTCCTGGATGCTGGGAAAGGAGGAGGCCTGTGGGTGGGAGGGTTTGTCTCTGCCCTCCTAAAGTCAGGCTTTAATCTCTGCCCACCTCCTCTGTCCTCTTTGGGACTTTCTGCCTCCCCCAGGAGGCCATCCTCGAGGGCACTTTCTTTTCTCTGGTTCTGCTGAGCCAGATCTGGTTCTTTCCTTGTTCCCCGAAGAGTAGCCAAGACAAAGTTGGACTTTTTCAAGAGCATCTTTACTTGAAAACTGAGTCACAAATGAAACAGGAAAATACAAAGGCTGAAAAATTGATGTGTTTATGGGTCCAGATTCCAGATCCAAAAAGTAGACTCACAGGCTGCTGAGGTTAGGAGAGAGCCAGAATACACAGTTGTACAAGTTGTTGACTGCACAAGTTAGTTGGCGAGTGGGGGTTTGACTCCAGCCCACAGGGCCGCTTCCATCTGGAGACACCATTTTCTAGTGCCCACATGCCCTAGTAGCGACAGCAGCCCTGGATTAGGAACTGCAGCTGCTCAGTCCTGGCCCTGAAGTGGCTTAGGGCTGGCAGTTTTATTCTGTTCTCAAAATATTCAGCAGAAGTAAAAACCCCCAACTCACACCAAGGGAAGGAAGATGGGCCTTTCCCAGCAGGGGGCCTGTTCCTGGAGCTCCCAGGAAGTCATGGGAGAGAAAGTACACCAAGAAGTGGGGAGAGACCTGGGTGCTGGGCCGGGGGCTGATGTGAGCCGATCCCGAGGTCTGTCCCTCCTGACCCTGAGTCTCCCCACCCAGGAGAGAACCAGACGGTCTACCCCATGGCTGCACCCACCCCCACTCCAGCCCCAAGTCCCCAGATGGGACCCCCTCTGATCACCTACGTTCTGCCTCCACCCGGAGGTGAGGACCATGTGCTGTTGTAGTGTGGAGGGGGCACGTGCCCGGGGTCTGCCCAGCTGGGAGGTGAAACAGGATAGCTGGATAGACCCCTGGCCTTCCACGGGGAGGATGGTTATCCTAGGGCTCTGGAAGTCACCCCAGCTTAAGATGCTTCTCCAACTCTACCCTTCCAGACCTTCCATCCCCTGCCCAGGTCAACTGTGAGGGCTCCTCAAATCCCCCAGCTCCCTGTGGCTTCCTGACTATGGCCCTGGCAGGCTCCTGCCACCCTCCGCCTCCCCCCACTGCAGCCCCCCTCTCTTCTGCACCCAGACCCCTGCTATTCTCCCCTGGGCCTAGCCCGACTCCCCAAGGGGAGCCTGCGTGCGTCGCCTCGGCAGCTGGAGCACCCCACCCGGGCTGCCCTCGTAGGGGCTCCCACCGAGGGGCCCAGCCGTCACAGCTGGAGCCCCGTAGAGGACGCTCACTCTCAGAGGTACACCCGGCCCCCCTACCTGCAGCTGGACCTGCTGCGGCCCCGGAACCTCACTGGTCAGTGGAGTGTGGGGGGGCTGGAAGAGGGGGCAGTGATGGTGGGCTGGAGGCGGCGCTTGCCCCTTTAGCTCTGACCCCAGCCCCCGCTACTGCCCCAGGCATCGTAGTGCAGGAGGCTGGGTCCTCAGACTTTCTCCAGTTCAGCAGTGATGGTCTACACTGGCACAGCTACCGTGACATCCTGCCTGGTGTCCTGCCGCCACCCAAGGTACTGCCCGCCTGGGCCCTGGGCCGCCTGGGCCAGTGACCCACCATGCCCCTTTGTGGCAAAGACTGTTCTTTGTCCCCAAGGACCTTCCGGTTCCCCCGAGGGACATTCCCTGTGTAGAGGCTTGTTGAACATCTGTCAGTAGCAGGGACGGTGTTCTGTGGAGCGGAGGGCTTGGGGCCCCCTATCAAAGGGGCGTCGGAAACAATCAAAGTGGCCCAGATGTGGGGCAGGTGTGCCAAGCTCTGTAGCAGCCTGCGGAGGGAGGGGAGTGGGGTGACGTCAAGTTCATCAAGGGCCTTGGGGGGCCACGTCAAGAGCAGCCAGGAGGGTGACCGCCCCCACCTCCCACCCCGTGCATCGCCCTGCCCTCATGGAGTTTGCATCCTCCCTGGGGAGACAAGCCTCAGGAAGCAGGAGGATTCAGTCCATACCACATGCTCACTCTTAAATACTTAAGGAGCACCTGCTATGTGTGGGCACTGGCCAGGCCCTGGGGGCGCAGCCGTGGGCACGACATGGCCCCTGCCCTCAGGGCCCCAGGACCAGAACCCCTGCAGCCTGGAGGGATCCAGATGGTGAATGCCAGGAGAGCATGAGTCTGGGAGGGGTGGGGTCCTGCCGCAAAAGTTGGGGGACTTGGATAGGCGGGATAGGCGGCACTTGGCAGGATCACGGTGGCAGCCTGAGCAAATGGCAGGCTTGGCCTTGGTGAGCAGGGCCTCTGTGCCTGCAGCTTGTCCCTTGGAACTGGGATGACGTGACCCCTGCAGTGCGGACCTTCGGTAGGATGGTGCAGGCGCAGCACGTCCGGGTGTGGCCCCATGATGTCCACCACAGTGACACCCACCGCAGTGATGCCCACCGTGGCGTCTCCCTGGGGGTGGAGCTGCTGGGCTGTGAGCCAGGTACAGGCTGGGCTGGGGGAGGAGGGGTGGGAGCGGGAAGGAAGGTGGGGCAGGCGCCCTCAGCCATCCCCCCAACCAGTGTCCCCGCTGGTGGCACCCCTGTGCCCAGGGGTCGGGCACCACTGTGCCAGTGGTGAGTGTGCCCCAAGGGGGGCCCCGTGTGATGGTGTGGAAGACTGCGAGGACGGCTCTGATGAGGAGGGCTGTGCATCCCTGCCCGCAGGCACTGGCAGGTATGGATGCCCTGCTGCCCAGCGTAGCCTGGGAGGGGTCAGCCATGGGGGAGGCACCCTGCATGGCCTTCACCCCTGAGATGCCCACGGGCCCTGTGAGCTGCGTTGCTGCGGCTGGGGGCCTGCAGAGGCCCCTTCCCGCTGCGGGATTCTAGGATTCTGTGCCATTTTCCTAGAGTCTGGAGGTTAGTGGTTCTCACAGTGCAGCCCCTGGGCCAGCAGCATCAGCATCGCCTGGAACTTGGTAGCAGTGCAGATTCTCGAGCCCCGCCCAGACCCGCTGAGGCAGGCACTCGGGGTGGGGGTGGAGTGGTCAGCAGTCTATGTTTCGCCAGCCCTCCAGCGGCTTCTAAGGAGAACCACGGTGGGATCTTGTCTAGTCTTAGCAGGCAGCGCCCTTCCCGAGCGCCCCAGCCCTGCCCCAGGCCCCCCAGGGAACCCTGACCCCTTGCCTGGGTGGGGGCTCTGAAGCTGGGAGAGCCTCTGGAGCCCCCAGGTTACTTTTCTTCTCAGCGTCCCGTCCACAGCCAGGACCCTGGCCCTCTCCTCCACCCCACCCGGACAGCTGCCCCCCCAGCCCAGAGAGGTGAGTGGGAGCTGTGGGCCCAGCAGGGGGGTGCAGGGCGTGGGGAGCCCCAGCCTCACGGCCTCACAGCCCTGTCCCTGTGCCCGTGGTCCCCCTGCCTCTCTTCACCCTTCAGTGGCGTCACCTCCATGCATGTCCCCGGGGCTGCCCTCTTGGTCAGCCTTCAGCCTGTGAGCCTTTTGGGGGCCAGCCCGGGTCAGGCTGGGGGCTGGGGGCCAGAGGGATGGCTGGGGATGCAGAGAAGCACAGGCAGCCCCTCGCCTGCAGGAGCTGGGGAGACGGGAGAGGCCTGCGCCCTGGTCATGAGGTTGTGCCCGCAGGGCAGGCACTGGGGTGTCGGCACTTGGAGCTGAAGAGCCCTGAGCCCGGGGTCCCTGGAAGCTTTTAAGGATGGGAGGGTTGTAATGTGGAGACAAGGGGCGGGCACTCTCACTGGGAAACAGCCTGGTCAGGAACCCAGATGAGAGAGTGACCACAGCGTCCAGGCACACGCGAGGGTTTGGGGGGGATGGGGTTTTGGGGGGCAAGGGCTGAAGCAGATCCCTCAGTGGGGTAGTGAGACTGGCCCAGAGCTCCCTGGGGGCGGGGCCTGAGTCTGGGGGTGCCCAGCCCTGAAGTGTCCACTCCCGACTCTGCCCTGTGCCGTGGGGGCAGGGGAGGGGCTGTAGGACTGAGGTGCCTCCTGATGGGAATGAGAGGCCGATGCCTGGACACCAGGCGGAGCTGCCCTCAGGGCCCCGGCTGCACGGGCAGCTGAGTCCTCTCACTCCGCAGGGTCTGGCAGAGCCTAAACGCTGGCATCCCGGACAGGGGTCACCCGTGCCCCCCACAGGTATATGTACAAACCCCAGCCCCCCCCCAGACCCCCAGCTCGCCTGCCTTTTACATCTCAGAGTTCAGTCTCCTGACCCTTGCCATCCCTGGACTGAGCAGGGTTGGCTTGGTGGGGGAGACATGGTCACCGTGGACGCCTTGACCAGATCCTGCCCTGCCCACCCTCCCAGATTCCACGGTGTGAGGCCCCAGGTTGGCGCCCAAGCTGAGCCTGTGCCCCGCAGCGTGGCTGCCTCCTGCAGACCCGCGCCCCTTTCCGTGGTGTTTGCTGGCGGCAGAGGTCTCTAAGCGGGCTTGGGGAGGACGGGGTCACCCCGTTAGCATGTTCCCCCTGATCTTTCACTGCACATTAGCCCGAGGAGAGCTGTCTTCAGCGAGAAGTTCTCAGCAAGGATGGGAAGGCGAGGGCTGTCAGGGCAGCCGGTGTGTCCCGGCTCTCACCTTCTCCTGCAGCAGATGTTGGGCTCGCCCACTGCCTGCCTGGGCCTCAATTTCCCCATCCTAGAGAATAGGAGGTCTTATAGACGACCTGTATGGTCCCATCCCATGAGTTCTGATGAAAGTTATTCAAGAGCCTGGCTGCCTGGGTTTCCGTGTCTTTTGTGAAAAGCAGGTGACGTAACTTGTACCGTCATGCAGGTCCGTAATACGCACCCACATGAAGAATTCTAATCTCCCTCTAAGTCTGGTTCTAGAAAAAAGGCTGTCTTTTAACATGAGTATCTTGTCAGAAAATGAGACTCTCAAACCCTTTTTCACTGTTGCTGCTAGGAAGCTCACCACCTGTTTCTCTGAACAGCTGTAGCAATGCGCTGATCCTGAGTCTCCAGTAGTGTTTGCTTTTGCTACTAAGTATTCTCTGTTCTTTTTCTCCCTCAGTGTCTTATTTTACAGTGAGTTTGACTCAGAAGCTGCCATGTGTGTCTTCTTGGGAGTAGAGTATAAATCTCGGCTCGAAATCAAGCTTTTCCTTTGCTTTTGGCTAAAAGCTTCTGTGCTTCTTGGAACCACTGAGTCCCGCGTCCTTGTTGATCTGAAGCCCCTCGGAAGGGGGCTGTAGTCTGTGGTATCTGTCCTCACCCTGCACCACCCGGAAACCTGGGACACCCTCTCTAGGGCCCGGGTGGGCTTCACCTCAGGGAGGGGGAGCTGGCGGTCCTCACCCCTCTCTCTTCTGCACCCACAGGGAAGGGGCCAGTGAGTTACGTCCCAGCCTCCGAGGCTCCTCGCCAGACTCCTGCGGAATCCGTGCAGACCGTGACCACCCCCCTCACACCCCAGCCCAAGGCCGAGGCCCTGCAACTGGAAATGGCAGCCATGACAGAGCTCTCCCCCCACCCGATGACTCCAGTGGCCCCTGCTGGTAAGATTCCACAGCCTCCTGCCTGCAAAGCCTCTGCATCCCAGCAACTTCCCTGCAGGGGACAGAGGACCGGGGAGGTTGGCGGCTCTGCTCAAGGTCACACAGCTGAAGGTCAGGGTTTTGGTAAGACCAGGCCTGGGACCCAAGCTTCCTGACACAGTTCACTTTTCTGTTATCCCAAGAGATGCAGGAAGTGGGAGCAGACCAGAAGTCAGGAGGAGGGAGGCTGGGGGCTGCTGGAGGTGACCAAGGGAGGGAGGACAGGGTAGGCCGTGTGTCCGGTCAGCTGGCTGCGGTGGTGCCCACAGGCCAGAGCGTTGCCCCGGGGCCCTTCCCGCTAGTGCAGTGCGGCCCAGGCCAGGTGCCCTGCGAGGTGCTGGGCTGCGTGGACCAGGAGCAGCTGTGTGACGGGAGAGAGGACTGTCTGGACGGCTCCGATGAGAGGCACTGCGGTGAGCATGGGGCCCCGCAGGCCTCCCTGGAGGGTCTGGTGTCACGTGGGTGGTGATGGCAAGAGGGCTTTCAGTTTGGAGAAGTCCCTGCTCCCTATTTCTAGTTCATATGGGAAGGACCCAGGAGAGGCTTGGGGCAGCAGGGATTGGAAAGAAACTGAGTGGGTAAAACAACCAGGAATGTGTGTGTCTTGGGGATGGTGAAGAGGGGGAATGGGATAGGTCTTGGGCCCCAGCCTGCTTTATAAAACCTGTCTGACCTTTTAGGAGACTCATCTAACTATCCATTAATCCATCCATGTGTTCATCCATATATCCATCCATCCTCCCATCCATCCTCCCATCCATCCATCCATCCATCATCCATGCACCCACCCATCCATCCATCTTCCATCCACCCACCCATCCATCCATTATCCATCCACCTGTTCATCCATGTATACATTCATCCACCCATCTATCCATCCATCCATCATCCATCCACCCACCCATCCATCCATCGTCCACCCATCCATCATCCATCCATCCATCCATCCATCCATCCACTCACCCATCCATCTATTATCCATCCATCCATCCATTATCCATCATCTGTTCGTCCATGTATCCATTCATCCACCAATCTATCCACCCATCCATCATCCATCCACCCACCCATCCATCCGTCATCCACCCATCCGCCCATCCGTCCACCCATCCATCCATTCACCCATCCATCCATTCACCCATCCATCCATCCGTCTCTCTATTCACCTATCCATCCATCCATCAAAAGTAGATCACTGTGCTCAAAGTCTAGTTTTCCAATCAGAAGAGGAGAAATAAACTGTTAACCAATCACAGGAAGGGGCACCCCAGGGAGCACCATTCGGGAAGGCGGTACCCGAGAGTGTGACCAGTTCTTCTAGACACTCTGGCCTCTCTGGACTCTCCAAGAGCTGTTGACAAGCAGAGGGACTGTGAGAGATCCTGTGTAGACCAAAAACCCCACGATCTCACACACACAGGACAGGGAAGCCTGCCCTAGGCGCAGGAGGCATCTGCAGGAAGGCGAGGGCAGGGCCTTGGTCAGCAGGTTCTGTCCTGCTCTTGGCCTGAGATTGAAGGGGCTCGATTTATCATCCAGCTGGAATCACTTATGTGGCTCCCTTTCTGTCCCCCTCCACGGGCAGCAGGCACTGAGCCATTCACGGTGCCCACCACCACGGCCCTGCCTGGGCTGCCGGCCTCACCAGCTCTCTGCTCCCCTAGCCAGCTGAGCTGTGGCAGTGGGGAATGCCTGCCCGCCGAGCGGCGCTGCGACCGGCACCCCGACTGCCAGGATGGCTCGGATGAGGATGGCTGTGGTATGTGCCAGGCCCGGGGGCACCGCTGAGGGCCCTGCCCCTGCATGAGCCCCCTCTGAACCCGGCCCACCTGTCCCCCTGCAGTGGACTGTGGGCTGGCACCCTGGTCTGGCTGGAGCAGCTGCAGCCGTAGCTGTGGCCTGGGCCTCGCCTTCCAGCGCCGGGAGCTGCTGTGGCCTCCCCTGCCTGGGGGCAGCTGCCCGCCTGACCGGCTCCGCAGCCAGCCCTGCTTCATGCAGGCCTGCCCAGGTAACCAGCATCCCAGGCCCCCAGGCCTCCTCAGCCCCAGGTGGGACGCCTGGGGTGGGTTCCCATCTGAGACCCACACCAGGGAGAAGCCCCTGCTCTCCTTTGGCACCCTGGTGTCCAGGCTCCTCTCCGGGACTCTAGGAGGACAGCCCCCTCTGATGTCACAGCCTTGCACCTCCAAAGGCCTCGTCAGGAAGCCTGCTCCCCAGTCCTTCCCTTTCCCTGCCTGAGTGGCCCTGGATGGGTCCCTAACCTCCTGGAGCGTGGAAACTGGAGCAGCAGCAGCCGCTCCCACCTCAGATGAGGGTGTTAATGGGCTGTGCCACTTATCCTGGGCTCTGAGCAGAAGGCCTTGTAGCCCTTTTGTTCTATGGATCCAAGAGAGTCGCCCCCACCCTGCCTCTGCCTTCCAGAGAGGGGCTGCCCGCACCGGGGTCTCTCTAGCCCCTGCATCTGACCTCCTAACCCAGCTTCTGTCCGCTGCCACCAGGGGGCGCCCTGCTCCAGGATTCCCACTGTTCCAGCCCCTTTCCAGGCGCTAGAGCCATTCTTTATTCTGGGAGGCATCTAGAGAGCTTTCCTAGGGGAGGTTTCCTGGGACAGGAGAGGAAGCTGTGGAGTCCCCGGGGTGCTAGCGGCTGTCCAGGGTCCTCTCTGCTCTGCAGCCCCACTCTCTCTAGCAAGGTCCACATCTCCTCGGGCTCACATGGTCCACACCCGTTCTTCCTCCCCCTGCAGTGGCTGGGGCGTGGGCTGTGTGGGGGGCCTGGGGGCGCTGCAGCGTCTCCTGTGGAGGTGGCCATCGGAGTCGCCGGAGGAGCTGTGTGGACCCCCCGCCCAAGAATGGTGGCGCCCCCTGTCCTGGGGCCTCCCAAGAGAGAGCACCCTGCGGCTTGCAGCCCTGCACAGGGGGCACAGGTAGGCAAGCTGGGCGGGGCAGGGGCATCCAAGGGTGGAGCCCCGTGGGGGTGGGGCTGTTGAAGAGAGTTTCTGGGCCTCCTGGTGCCCACCCCGCCTGGTGCCCATCTCCCTGCAGACTGTGGGCTGGGCCGTGTGCACGTTAGTGCTGAGTTGTGCCAGAAGGGGCTGGTGCCCCCATGCCCACCCTCCTGCCTGGATCCCGAGGCCAACAGAAGCTGCAGTGGACGCTGTCTGGAGGGTGAGGCAGACCCAGAGAGCAGGGCTGCTGTGGACAGAGCCCTCGGGGGGAGTGTGGGGTGCCCATCAGTCCTCAGTCTCCAGCCTCCCCTCCCTGCTGCCCCCTACACTTGGGACTGAGTGCCCTCCTCCCCCACACCCCAGGATGCCGCTGCCCCCCTGGGCTCCTCCTCCACGACAGTCGCTGCCTGCCCCTCTCCCAGTGCCCCTGCCTTGTGGGCGAAGAGCTGAAGCAGCCAGGGGTGCCCTTCCTCCTGGACAACTGCAGCCAGTGGTGAGGGCATCTGCTTCCGCGGGGAGGGCCTGAGTCAGGGGACGGTCCCCTCCCACCCCACCCTCCCCAGTCCTGACCTCCTCGGCCTCTCCCTCCTCTGCAGCACCTGTGAGAAGGGCGTGCTGCTGTGTGAACCAGGGGGCTGTCCTGTGCCCTGCGGCTGGTCAGCCTGGTCCTCCTGGGGTCCCTGCGACCGCTCCTGTGGCTCTGGAGTGAGGGCCAGGTTCAGGTGTGCAGGACAGAGCCAGCGAGGGAGGGAAAGGAAAATGGGAGAAGGAAGGAAAGGGGTGTGGTGGAGGGAGAGAGCCAGCTGAGCTGGGCCGGTGCTGGTGGGAGCCAAGGAGCCTGCGCGGGAGAGGGTGGTGGTTGAGGACAGAAGGAAGAAGAGGGCAGGAGTGAGGGGCAGGGAGAGGAGAGTGGATGCCAAGGCTGCCTCTCTCCCCAGGTCTCCCTCCAACCCTCCAGCCGCCTCTGGCGGTGCCCCGTGTGAAGGCGACAGGCAGGAGGTGCAGGCCTGCCACACGGAGTGCGGGACAGGTATGGCCAGGAGCTGGGAGGCAGGAGCCCACTACCCCTCCCAGGGTCGGCCTTGCTCCCCCCATCCCTGCCCTAGGAACACGGTGGGCTCGGCCATGGTCACTCTGCATGAGTGGTCAGTGAAGCCTCCCCATCCAAGAGGCAGCCCTGGACCAAGCCTTGATGCCCGGGGCTTTGACGAGGAGCAGACGGAGGGGAGGCCTGGGCCCAGGCGGCATCCTCCTCCCACAGAGGCAGCCCAGGAGCTCTGGCCCGGGCGGGCAGGGTATCTGAGAGCAGGCCGAGGGGGCAGGCTGAAGCCGCTGGCTGTGCGTGTGGGGCTGGGGAGGTGGTCAGGAGCGCCTAGACAGACAGAGGTGCCTAGACTGGCTCCTTCTTTCCGCTGCCCGGGGATGGGGCGGAGGAGAGAACAGGAGAGTTGGGGGTGCAGGTGTGGGTCCAGGGGTCTGGGCCAGGCTCTTGCAGCAGGAGAAGGAGGGAGGGGCCAGTGATGCATGGCTGCTGGTGCACTGACAGGTGTCCGAGGGGTCTCTGGGGTTTCCAGCTTTGAAGCTGAGTGAAGGCCAGTTGTTTAGAAAGCTCTGAAAGACTTGGTCTGGGGGAAAATGTGAGGATGGGTAGTGGACCTGTTGAGGTGCAGGTATGCCCACGGATGGAGGTGGGGACGAGTTGGAGCTGGGCTCAGGGAGGCTCTGCTCTGAAAGTGAGACCTGGGCCCGACAGTGGGGGTCCCAGAGGGGCAGAAGCTGCGCCCGAGCCCAGGGAGGCACTCCCTATCCTCATGAGGCCTTCTCTGGCCCCCATAGCCTCTCAGACCTGACCCGGGTGCCCCAGTCCTCCCCAACCCTGCCAGGACCCCTACAGTAGGCTGCCCTTCCCCTGCAGAGGCACTGGGCTGGACGCCCTGGGCACCCTGGTCCTCCTGCTCCCTGAGCTGTCTCGTCCCTGGAGGGGGCCCCGGCTGGCGCAGTCGATCCCGGCTCTGCCCCAGCCCCAGGAACACGTCCTGCCCAGGAGAGGCCACCCAGGAGGAACCCTGCAGCCCCCCTGTGTGCCCAGGTATGCCCCCCTCTCCCTGGGGTTGCCTGGGCACTGGGGTGGGTGAGGAGCACAGGAGAAGAATGTCCTGTTAGGCAGGTTCTCAACACTGGGGCAGGGAGGGGGCAAACCTGGTTATTGTCCCAAGCTTCTCCCCATCTAGCCATCCCCCCAGGAAGCCCAGCCCATGACTAATAGGGTGGGCCTGGCCTGAAGGAGTGTTTGGGACAGCCCAGGAGGTGTGGATGTTGGTGGGGGCTGAAGCTACAGTTAAGACCCTGCACGCCGCACAGCTCTGACCCCTCCCACACCCCATCCCCTGCCCATGTCCTTGCCGTGTCCATGACAGTCGACTCGGGTCTTCCTGACAGTGCCAAGTGTGTGGGGTCTGTGGGCCCCTTGGTCCACCTGCTCAGCCCTCTGTGATGGAGGCATCCAGACACGTGGGCGCAGCTGCTCTGGCTCGGCTCCTGGGGACCCTGAGTGCCAAGGACCCCACAGCCAGACCAGGGACTGCAACACGCAGCCCTGCACAGGTGCCACCCCCACTCCCATTCTCCAGCTACCATGTCCAGCCAGCCCCTGGGGATTTTGACCCCCAGCCCCCACCTCCACACATCACTGACCTCTGGCTCCAGGAGGGGCCATGCCTTGAACTAAGACAGATTTTGCCAGATTTCCTGTGTCTCCTTCAGCTCCCGCCCCCTGGGGACCAGGCACTGGCTGTGGCCTGAGGGAGGGGGCTTCCTCTGGCTTCTCAGTCCTGCTGACAGGCTGCCACCCAGCCACCTGCATGCAAGTTCCCTTCTGTCCCTCCATCTCCCTGCCCTTCCCTCTTATCCCTGAGATCCACTGTTTTCCTGTCCAGCTCAGTGCCCAGGAGACATGGTGTTCCGCTCAGCGGAGCAGTGCCGCCAGGAGGGGGGCCCGTGCCCTCGGCTGTGCCTGGCACAGGGCCCTGGGGTGGAGTGCACGGCCTTCTGTGCGCCCGGCTGCACCTGCCCCCCTGGCCTCTTCCTGCACAACGCCAGCTGCCTGCCCCACAGTCAGTGCCCCTGCCAGCTACACGGGCAGCTTTACGCGCCAGGAGCAGTGGCTCAGCTGGACTCCTGCAACAACTGGTAGGCCCCCAGCACGGGGGTGAGGGTGGAGAGGGTGGGAGAGGGGCTTGGTGGCTCCAGAGGTGGGCAGGCATGGACTCATATACACGGTGGGGGGCGTGGTGGAAGTTCATCATGATGCCAGGCATGGGCAGAGGGAGTGCTGAAGGCAATGAGATAAGCCTGGCCTCGAGGGCTGGGCGTTGGTGAGGAACTGACATGCGCATTTCACTTATGGGAAGACTGAGGCTGAGAGAGGTGAGGGATGGAACTAGCGCCTGGAGAGGGGCTTCGAACCGCTCCTCCAGTTACCTCTGTTTCTCTTTCCTGAATATAACCCCCTACCTGGAGCCGCTAATTTCTGCTCAGAAACCTTAAAGCGCCCAACACTCAAGCTGACACCAGACCCTGCCAGCAGGGGGCGCACTAACTCCTTTCCCTCTTTGTCCGTTTCTTTCATTTCATTTTCTCAATCTTTTTCTTTTCTATCCCCAGCGCCTCCTCCAATTCCCTGCTTCATTCTTCCTCTTCCCCCACCTCCTTCTCTTTTGCTTTTTCTCTCTTGGATTCTTTTTCTGGAACTTCCATGTATTTGACAAGTGGGTTTTAAAGCACTTGTTGGAGAAAAGAGGGAAGAAAGCGCAGCGTCCTCCTTCCCAGGAGACGCAAGCTGGGGTCTGCTCTTCCTAAGTCACTCTGACCTGGCCCTGAAGAGTTGCTCAGAGTCACTTCAGTGCAGTGTTCAATGCACACAAATGGAATAAAAAGTGTGCAGCGGCGACTCCTTGATAAAACTGCGGGACAAAGGGCAGCAGGGTGCCTGGGCGTTGGGGGTCACAGAGGGTAGAGCTCTCACCTGGTGAGAATCCTGGGGCACGCCATGAACTTCGCGTGGCACAAGCGACAACTTGCCTTACTTGCCAGACCCTCAGGGTTCTCTTCTGTGTGGTGGACGCGGTGGTCCTGGCCACTTCCCCCTAGGGACAGTGCTCCAAGGGGCAGGGGCTGATTGTGGCTCTCTCTCTGCAGCACCTGCATCTCTGGCGAGATGGTGTGCACCTCGGAGCTCTGCCCAGGTACCGCTGGTGCCCAGGAAATCGGCAGTGTGGGCTGCTGGCCCCTTCAGAGATCCACCCTGGGGGTGTCGGTGGTGCCTCGGGGAAGTTGGGGTCAGGGGTGACTTGACCTGGTCTCACACATACTGTGCTTCTCCCCTGACACTCACCCTGCAGTGGCCTGTGGCTGGAGCCCCTGGACCCCGTGGACGCTCTGCAGCCGCAGCTGCAACGTGGGCATTCAGCGGCGCTTCCGGGCGGGCACTGCACCCCCGGCTGCCTTCGGGGGGGCTGTCTGCCAGGGCCCCAACATGGAGGCCAAATTCTGTAGCTTGCGGCCATGTCAAGGTGAGAGCAAGGTCCTCAGAACCCTCCAGAAAGGAGCCAACACTCCGAGTCCCTCCCCCGGGACCCCGAGAGAGGTCCAAGGGCTTTCCCTAAGAGTTGCCACTAAGATGTGGTCCCCAGAGCACCCTAAGAGGGGTCATCCCTGGAGGCCAGCCTTGTTCCAGTGAGTTCTCCCGAGGTGTGACGCTGCGGTGTCTGCGGTCCAGGGGGAGGAGTGACTGAGTGTCTGGGTGGGAGGAGGAGGAGGAGACGTGCTGGGTGTGGGGGACAGGGCTGCAGTGACCTGGGTGCCACCCCCAGGTACTGGTGGGGAGTGGGGTCCCTGGTCTCCATGCTCCGTGCCCTGCGGTGGTGGCTACCGGAACCGCACCCGAGGTAGTGGCCCGCACAGCCCGATGGACTTCTCCACCTGTGGCCTACAGCCCTGTGCAGGTGAGGACTGCCCTGGGGACCTACCTTCTCCACCGCGCCTGTCCTCAGTTCTCATCTGCACCTGACCCAGGGGCTGGTCAGCCCCTCCCTGTCACCCCGGGGACCCCCTCTGTGAGCTCCTGTGCAGCCCCACGACCTACCCAGCCACTCCTGGAGCTGATGCCTCTCCAGGGTTGGGAGCCCCAGGAGAATTGAGTGCACCTGGGCTGGGCTGTCAATTTCTTTGTCCCCAGGGCCCGTGCCTGGCATGTGTCCCAGGGGCAAGCGGTGGCTGGACTGTGCCCAGGGCCCTGCTTCCTGTGCAGAGCTCAGCGCTCCTCAAGGGACTAACCAGACCTGCCACCCCGGCTGCTACTGCCCTTCCAGAATGCTCCTGCTGGTGAGTGTCCTCCCTGCCTGGCCTCTTCTGGGCCTGGGGACCCTGGTGGCAAGGAAGGGACAAGCGGGGCCTGGGCAGAGGCAGAGCCAAAGGTACGGGGCTGGAGACAGGGAGACGCTGCAGAATCGAGGACAGGGCAGTGACCTCGGGGGTCAAGCTCAGCTCCGCTGGCAGCAGCAGGGGACCCTGGGTGAGTCGCATTCGTGTCTCCTCAGGCCTCTGTGGTCTGGTTTGTGAAATGGTGATAGGTCTAGAAAGTCTTTATGATTCCTGCCTGCTTGAGCGCTCTGTCCTCTTATGTTATCACCAGTTATTTATCGAGCACCTACTGTATGCTCAGTCTTGGGCTAGGCTACACTGTAGGGAAAGAGCAGGCTCTGCTCTCAAGAAGCCTCCAGTCTGGGGAGACCAGACCCGGAGCCTCTAGAATGAAGACAGGACTATCCGATGCACAGGAAGTGAGCTCTGCACGTTGTGGAGCATGCGGTGCAGACTGGCGGGGGCTGGGTCAGTCATGGTGGGCTTCCTGGAGGATGTGGACCTGATTTGACTGTCAGAGACTGGAGGACGTGGAGAGCAGGGAGGTGGCCACTCCATTTGGGGGGTGGTGGGAACCAGGGCTGGGAAATGAGGCCAGCTTGGTGGAGTTTGGACAAAAGCTTGTGGGGCAGTGGGGAGGGCTTACAGAGGTGCTGCTGGACCATGGGTGTGGTTAAGGGACAGACTCCCATCAGGTCTGGGTTCCAACCAGGACCTTCCACTGGTAGCTCTGTGACCTCAGGCTGAGGACTCTTATGCCTCAGTGTCTTCGTTTGTAAAATCGGGGTCATAAGGTGCGCCTGTAAGTCTGTAAGACGGTAAAGTGTTTCCCAGGGCCTGGCCTGCAAACCTCAGTACATTTGACTTTGAATCATGCTGCTGGATGGCTGTTTTATTAAAATTTGAGACACTAGCGACTTCTTTCCAAACTCCCTGTGCACATAGTTTTGTCTGGTTTTATTTTGTTGATGAAAATGTGGGTTTTTTTTACATCATTGCCGTATGAATTGCACATTTCCTATTTTGTTAGTTGATTTCAGGGACATTGCACAGTTCAGTCTCACGTCCTGTGATTGGAGATGGTCTTTTTCTCTCAGAAATTGGGGGGTCCGTGCCCTCTCCACATGGTCCCTGCGGCTGATGGGGTGTGTTTCCGATGTTGAGGAGTTGCTGTTTGAGGGTGTGAGCCTGAGAAGGGGGTGCTGAGCTCTGACCAGGGGAGCAGGCCAGGCCAGAAACCCGAAGATGACAGAAGGCTTTTGATTCCAGAACAATGTGTGTGTGCCCACCCAGGACTGCCCCTGTGTCCACGGGGGGCACCTCCACCCCCCGGGCAGCGCTGTGCTTCGTCCGTGTGAGAACTGGTGAGACCCCACCTCCAACACAGTGGCCCCGTGACCCCTAAGGACCCTGCTGTTCCTCCTCCGCGGCAGGCAGGGACGTTGGCCTCTAGGGGGCCATGGAGACGCCCCTTCCATCATGGGCACAGCCAGCCAGCTCTCTGAGGCCAAGCCTCTTGCCCCCTTGCCCATGCCATCCCGACCAATCTTCTCTCTTCCCACCTGTCTCAGTCTGCGGGGGCTGCTGCAGCAACACTGCAGACTGGGTGGCTTGAACACGAAGTTTATCTTCCCACAGTTCTGGAGACTAGTAATCCAAGATGAAGTGTCGGCAGGGTTGGTTCCCCCGAGGGCTGTGAGGGAGAATCTGTGCCAGGCCCCTCTGCCCTTCTGGTGTTGTTGGCAACCCTTGGCACTGCTGGGCTTGTCGCTGCATCCCTCCAGTCTGTATCCATGTGGCCGTCCTCTCCTTGTGTCTTCCCGTCATCTTCCTCGTGCAAGTCTGTCTCTGTGTCCACGTTTCCCCTTTGTCATGTTGGATTCGGGTCACCCTAATGACCCCGTTTTAACTTGATCACCTCTGTGAAGACCCTCTCTCCAAATAAGGTCACATTCTGCAGTCACGTTCACATATGTTCAGACTCCAACATAAGAATTTGAGGGGACACGATTCAGCCTGTAGCAGCTCGCTGACCTCTGTGGCTCCCCTTCCAGCTCCTGTGTCTCTGGGCTGATCACCAACTGCACCTCCTGGCCTTGTGCGGAGGGTGAGAAGGGGCCACTCCAGACGCCCCCTGTACACTCCCTGTCACCGCAGTGGGCCTGTGCAGGGGCTGGGGAAAGCCCTCGGGAGAGGTGGGGGCAGGGAGGAGGGGCACCCCGTCCTTGTGCATCATCTCTGCCAGCTGGCCCCTCCAGCCTGCGCTTGCTCTGTCCTCTCTCCACCTCCCTCTCCTGTGCACACTCAGGTCAGCCCACGTGGTCGCCCTGGACCCCCTGGAGCGAGTGCTCGGCCTCCTGTGGCCCTGCCCGACGCCACCGGCACCGCTTCTGCACCAGGCCCCCTGGCGTGGTGCCATCCAGCGAGGTGCTGCTGCCCCCACCGGCCTCAGCCACGCCTCTTTGCCCAGGCCCCGAAGCTGAGGAAGAGCCCTGCCTCCTGCCAGGATGTGATCGTGAGTCCCACGGAGCCCTGGATGGGGCCCTCTGTGCCCTGTGGATACCCGCTGCCTTGCACCAGCTGCTCCCAGCCCCGGCCAAGCCCCCCCTTCTTCCTCTGCTGTCCCCCCAGGAGCTGGGGGCTGGGGTCTTTGGGGGCCCTGGTCCAGCTGTAGCCGGAGTTGTGGGGGAGGCCTGCGGAGCCGGACCCGAGCCTGTGACCAGCCCCCACCCCAGGGCCTGGGCGATTACTGCGAGGGGCCTCGGGCCCAGGGGGAGGCCTGCCAGGCTCTGCCATGCCCAGGTACCTGCTGTGATGGGGGGTGGGAGTCAAGGAGCAGAGGCGGGAAAGCTGGAGGAAGCGTTACAGGGCGACGGGCCAGGATGGGCGACCCACACACTCAGCCCATCCTGTCCCCTCCCCTAGTGACCAACTGCACTGCCATTCAGGGGGCCGAGTACAGCCACTGTGGCCCTCCCTGTCCACGCTCCTGTGACGACCTAGTGGTGAGTCCGGGCTCCCTCGGCATGCCCGCCTGACCTCTGCCCCAAGGGTCACTTTGTGGGAGGGCAAGGTGTGGCTTTGGGGCATGGCCCCTTCCGGCCTGGGGCAGCCCAGCACTGGTGGGGCGGTGTGGGGTCATCGCCCACCAGGCCAGCTCCCCTTGTTCCAGGGAGTGAGCCTCATCCAGCAGCCCTTGTCTCATTGCAGCAAAGATTTCTCGATTTAAACATTTTATGACAAAAATAGCATAAACACATAGGAAGGGGGAATTATTCCATTATCTCATCTTAAACACCACCAGCACTTGGGTGTACAGACCTTGACTGTGTGTGCGTGTGTGTGCGCGTGTGCCTGTACCCGTGTGTGTTTGTGTGTGTCTGTGCTCGGGTGTGTGAGCCTCTACTGAGTGCCTGCCCAGGACCATGGAGAGGGACAGAAGCAAACACAGACTCTGTCCCTGTCCTGTGGAGCCTGCATTGTGATGGGGAAATAGATCCTAACCAAAGATGCTGAGAGCTGTGGAGAAGGGATGGTGCTGTGGGGTCCTGCGTGGGGCCCTTGTGGGGCCCTGTCTAAGGAGGTCGGGGAGGCTCCTCACAGAGAGAGGGAGGAGGAAGGGGTGGTGCCTGGATCCCAGTCTCCCCAAGAGGATCCAGCTCCTTCCCAAATGGCCCTGCCTCCCGCCAGCCGTCTGGTCCACTCTGCCTAACTTCTGGGGAGGTCTGGGAGATACCCAGGTTCCCCACTGAACTCTCCGTGGGGCTCACATTTGGAGAACACTCCCACCAGGGAAGCTCCTCACAGGCTCTCCTCTCCCTTCCCTCTCCTCCCCTGGGGAGGGGCCAAGGCAGGGACTCCATGGAAACTCCAAGAAGGGCTTGTTACCTTCGCTGCCTTTCTTAACAAAGCTTCGAGGCATAAACTGTGTCTAGAACATAATGACCATGAACTGGAGCATCGCACTTTCTCCCTTCCGCCCTTCAAGCCTCCTTCTTCATCTTCCCTCCTGTGACTGCGCTGACTCCCAAGGCAGCCTCTCCCCGCCCCCATAGGCCCTGTTTTCTGCTGACCAGAGCCCCCTCTTACTGTCCCCAGCACTGTGTGTGGCACTGCCAGCCCGGCTGTTACTGCCCCCCGGGCCAGGTGCTTAGTGCTGACGGGGCCATCTGCGTGCAGCCTGGCCACTGCAGCTGCTTGGACCTGCTGACTGGGGAGCGGCACCGTCCGGGCACTCAGCTGGCGAGGCCGGACGGCTGCAATTACTGGTGAGGCAGGGACGCGGGCAGGATGCAGGTGCAGGGGTGAGGGCAGGGCATGGGCAGGATGGAGGTGCAGGGGTGAGGGCAGGATGCAGGTGGAGGGATGAGAGCAGGATGCAGGTGCAGGGGTGAGGGTGGGGCGTGGGCAGCATGCAGATGCAGGGGTGAGGGCAGGATGCAGGTGCAGGGGTGAGGGCAGGGTGAGGGCAGGGCTTGGGCAGGATGGAGATGCAGGGGTGAGGGCAGGAT